CCATGATGAGCTTGGCCTTAACTGGGGCAAGTCCAGGTGGGTCAGCCATATGGATTGCCTAAAACAGAAATACGTGTCATTTGCAAGCTGGATGCCGCCATCATCCAGTCACTCCCTAGGGCCTCACTGACCCTACCCATTGGACCAATTACAGCTTCTGGTAGAATGATAATATAGACATGCACGTTTCTTACACCCTGTCCCCAAGGAGCCCACTAAGGAGGAAAGGACCTGTGTTTGGCTCCAGCCACATCAGGGAAGGTGCTCACATCTGTTCTAGGTATTTTTAATTGCAAACTGGGAGACACCTCGACTTTGTAGGGTTATTAGTAGGTAACATATATAAAGAGGTGGGACATAGTAATTGCTCAATAAATCTTGGCTCCCTTGCTACATCAAGTATAGGCAAACAAGTATGTATGCATAGGAGCCATGCGTATAAACATGGACTCTAATCAACATTCATGTAGGAACCATCAATTCCTCCCCACAGAGTAGTGTGGGGCGTGGGCAGACAAAGCCCCCATCTGCCCAGAGTTTCTAGCTGTGCACAGAACACTGATAGTAAGAAGGTATCTCCCACATGAGTCAAGGTCCAAGGTGGGTCAGGGCCTCAACCTAGCTTAGCTGGTACTGGCTCCATCCTGAGGGCCCATGGCCTCCCCACCTCAGAGGGGCCACCTTGACTCAAGATGAGCCAACCAAGAGGGGAAGGGCCCTGGGGCCAAGGCTACGGTGTATGCAGCAAGGCTAAGCCTTTCTCACTCACTCATTCTCTCCTTTCCTCTGCCCCTGCTCCTGCTCAGCCCACCTAACTAACCCCTTGCCCCAATTATGACAGCAGCCCTTGCCTGACCCCTCCCTATTTGTCCTGACAATGTCAACTTCATGCTGCCACCATATGTTCTGACAGCTCCCCTTGCCCCATAAGCATCAACCCTAAAACACAAGGCAATGTAGGTTTAGCCTGTTTAGATTTAAGTGTTCAGAATGTGAGGCCAAGATGAAACTCCTGCTTCCTGGAAGAGGCCTTTATTTATCTCTGATACCCCTAGGGACTCTGAGTCAGAGAAGTCCACTGAGACTGGGCTACATCTGGGTCAGTGGAGAAGGAAATCTGATAAAACCCATTCATGCTCAGTTGCTCCTCCCTCCCTCCCTGTCTCCCTTCCCAGTAATTTGCATTTTCAATAAAAGTCAGAGTTAGAGACCTGCGTCATAGTTCAATAGCAGAGATATGGTCCACTTAGTTCAACAGGTATGAGGAGCCTTGAGACATACTGGATGCTGCCTGGAATTTTCTCCAGTCCTTTCATTTTACAGATGGGAAGGTAACTAACTTACCCAAGGTGAGAAGGAGGAGAGCCTGCCCTCCACCCAAGGGGCACACCATTGCCATCACACACCCTTGGATTCTTCCAGCAGCTGCCTGGGCCTCACATCTACACACTGGGGCGAACACAAGTGCTCCAAGAATGGAAGCCACCTTTATAGAATATTGACATTGTCACTGTTCCAGCTGGGAAAACTTAATCCCAAACCAGGCCCTTGCCTTTCTTCTTTCCTGAGGCTCCTGTCCTAGTCCTGAATTTCCCTCTGTTTTCCACCCTCCCCTTCTTCCAACCAGAAGCTTCTCTGACCCATAGCTTCCATGTGGCTGTGGTCACCTGCAGAGGCTGAGGAACCCCATCCAAGGTTTTGTTTGGACATCAAGATGGATGACACCACGTACACACCAAGATGGTACAAAAAGGTTTAGTATTTACATAATTGTGGTCTTTGAGGAGAACAGGTCCCAGATGGCTTGGGAGAGCCTGGAAGGAGATTGGCCTGGTTTTCCATTGTGGTTGGGGGGGTGGGTGTTTATGCAGGAAGAGGCTCATGAATCTCCTCCCTTGGATGCCAAAGGATGGGCACCAGTTTTTCTTATCAGTTTGTCCAGGTGTGGGGGACTAGGGGAAGAGGGAAGGGTGAGGCTTAAAAGCTGTCATTGAACATCAAGAACTGGACTTGGATTTCTCATTTCACATGTTACTCATGTGCCCTTGTTTCTCAGCCTGTGTTTCTAGGTGGGTCTGTGCTCCATGGGCAAGAGTTAACAGATAAAGAGTTGACAGTGATAAAGTCAACAGACAGATGAAATGAGGCTGTGGTGATGTCACTATAAGCAAAAGATTTCAGTCCTATGGCATGAATTTGGGATTTCCTTTCTCCAGCTCTCCAGCCCAGACCCTTGCAGTCTCCATATCTCTCTCCACCCCAACCCCTCTCCCCCAGATCTGCCTGACACTGCTCACATTCCTTAGCAGGGCCTTCCTGGCTAGCAGTGGCCCAGCTCCTGCTCCTGCATTCCCTGTGGACACTCCCCTGGACTGGAAAAGCCATCCTTCATCCCTTTCCTGCTTCCAGTCCCCAGATCGGACATGCTGGTCATTCCTGTTTGGGATGGCCAAAGAGATAAGGCCTGGCATGGAGCCCATCTGTCATTACAGGACTCAAAGCTGTTTAGGATGGGACCCTTCCCCATGCTGAGTGTCCACTCTGTCCCTGGCTGTCTCCTCTTCTTTATGAATAAACTGGAGAATCCAGGAGCCACCAGGAGAGCAAAGGACTGCTCAGTTTCTTCTTAGCTTCCTGTTTCTTGACCCCAGATGTCACCTAACCCCTGCTGCTTTGGACCACAAGACAGAACATAAAGAGAGGCTGAGTGACTTTGGGAATCACAGCTTAGGAACAATTGCTGTCCTAAGGGCAGTCAGGGCCAAGTGTCCTGTCCTCAAATGCTGTTATCGCAGCTGCTTTTGTTTAGGCATGTCTGGCTGTCTGAACAACATCTGGCTTGGAGTTTGTCTCTTAAAGATGCAGCTGTGGTCAGTGGCTTCCAGTCCTAGCTCACCCTCCCTCCCATAAATTGTATGACCTTGGATATCCAGGTAACCTCCTGAGGCTTAGCTCCCTCATCAGGTCAATGAAGATGATAGGCTTGACCTCACAGGGAGCCTGGGGGATGAAATTAGCCTGCACATGACATGACTTGTAAACTACAAAGCCACACTGGGGTCCTTGGCTTTAGATTTTATATATTTATTTTATTAGGCTCTGATTCTAATCTTATACTCCTAATGTTAATGGATTAAGGTCTGGGCTGCTTGCTGCTCAAAAGCCAATATTCAGAGATCAGCCTGGGCTAAAAAGGAAGGGAAAAAAAAAGCGAATATTCAGGAGACCAGAGGGAAGAATTAGGTTTCCTCAGGACTCATACCTTGGAAGATGGAGTGGGTTGTTGAGCACAATGATCCATGGCTGGGGGGTGTGGGGGGGTGTCAGGGGCACAGAGAGGTTGTATAGGGAGGGAAGGAGGAACAAGACAAAAAGGCTATGTGCTGAGTGGGGTCTTTGTCATCCAGGGCATGTATCTCCCCTCCCCACTTTCTGACAGGGACATCAGAATCTACCTACCTTGACCCCCTGGGACTAGTTCCTGTATTTTTTAAAAGAGACATTATTATTATTATTATTATTATTGCAAGGTAAACCTCACAGCAATTTACATGCTTTTCATTAATTGTGATAGAACTGAAGACTGAGGAGGGGTGTTACAAAGTATTATGGGCTCTGTAAAGGTAAAGAAAGACTAACAGTTTACATCTTTAGGTGGGGATTCTCTTGGGATTTAAAATAAAGGGCAAAAGAGAGGACAAGAAAGCCACTGCTAAGCACAGCTCCTAAAGGGGCAGCCCTGTTACACTAATTCTTCTTCTCCTTAAACACATTGCCAAGCTGTACAAATTGTCTCACCAAACCTGGATCTACTCTTAGTATTGTGCAAATGTTATTTGTTAGTGTAAGTCATTAAGAAGGACTCTAGGGTCAGATAATACAGGATTAAAATCCTCACTGCGTGGTCTTAGCCAAGTTGCTTAACCTCCCCAAACCTCAGTTTTCCCATCGTAAAACAGAGATGATTAATATGAGGATTTAATTGAATAATGTTTGTAAAGCACTTGCATAGTTCCTGTTGCATATGTGTTTCATACATGATGGTCTCTATTATAAAAACACATAGAAGACGGAATGCTCAGGGAAAGTAGAGAAATCTGAATCAGACTCCAGAAAGCACAGTGACCTTTTGAAGTTCACTTTCTGTTTGATTCTATAGCCCATAAAGAGATCTTTGGGCCCCACCCACCTGTCTCACCTTGCACCACCTGTAGGAACCTGTAGGGGCTGGCATCGGTGCCCAGTCTCCAAACACTCAGTTGGAGCGTGAGTGGGAGAAGGAACCATTGGGATTCTGCCGGGCTGGGTTCTGGAGAGAGGTGTGAATGAAGAACCCGGCACAGTCTGAGCCCAGGTCCCTGAAATAATACTGCGCTCTTGGGAGGGACTCATTTCCACACCGACAGTCTTATCCCTCGAGACCAGAAGCCGCAGCCCTTAGGGGAAATGCTATCCGTTTGCTAATTACCATTAGTGCTGCTTGGTTATTGCCACTGCTAAATACTGTCTGGCTTTGCTGAGGAACCCGTGCCAGCTCCTACCAGGATGGGTGAGGGCGGGCGGGTGGGCAAGAGAAATCAATCTCCACGAAGACAGCGAAGGAGATGGGTGCGAGGAAGAACGCCCAGAGACCTCCAGCCACCTATCAGGGACTCACAGCGCTGCGGAGGCGACTCCAGCATCCGAGCCAGCCGCGCGCGGTCCCAACACTCGATCTGTCCAGCTGGGATTGACGAAGTGACCGCGCCGGGATCGGCCTTTTCAGCAGCGGTAGCAGCCGCAGCAAAGCGGCCGGACAGATTCCACCCCCAGCCCCACCCATCCAATCCATCTTGCAACCGAGGCGACGTTTCCTGAGAGAAACCAGGGGTGGGGAGGGGAAATCCAAGCCTTTAGGGGCTCCCGACAGGTGTCGGGGGGAGAGGGCGGAGCCGGGGTAGGAAGGATGAGGAGGGAGGGGCAGTGCTGCCCCTTTAAGAGGCGGTGGCCGAGCCGGGACCTTCTTTTTCCCCGGAAGGAAAGCGGAGCCCTGGCTGGGCGCGCAAGGTGGGGAGGTGCGGGGCTGGGCGTGGGGAGGCGGGGCGCGCGCGGGGCGGGGGGACCTCTCCCTCCCCTGCTCCTTGTGGTCTACGGGTCTGCCTGCCCAGATCCACCGCCTAGCCAGGATTGAAGGTGATAGCTCAGCCAAGGGGGCGCGGCTGGCACAAGCTGGGGGCCGGGTGCCCCGGGTGGGGGACGGTTACCCAGCTGCGGGACAGGCGGGAGAATAGTCCCACGGACCTTGGAAGGGATCGAAGAACGCGGACCTCAAGCGGAGGTGAAACTGACCAGGACTAGACGCGAGAAACTGATCAGTACTCCTGGCGCAACCGCTTGGCGGACGCTAGTGTCCTCTGGCGGCGCCCGGAGCAGGTGAACAGGTTCAGCTCCGTGTCCTCACTCGCTCTCGCCAGGTCCCCGGCTCCCGCTCGCAGCCATGGGCCTCGGCCCCCGCTGCGCGCCCCGCAGGATGCTCTGCACCCTCGTCTTGATGGTGGTGGCCGGTGACCGAGTCGCCTCTGCTTTCAACCTGGACACCCGATTCTTGGTGGTGAAGGCCGGGAATCCGAAGAGCCTCTTCGGCTACTCGGTCGCCCTCCATCGGCAGACGGAGCGGCAGCGGCGTTACCTGTAAGTCAGACAGGCGGGGGTGGAGTGGGAGAGGGTGTGTGCAGGGGTGGGGGAAGGAGGGCTATGGATCCGGAGCTGGGTCGGAGCCCTAGGCCCACTGGCTTCCAGGCCTGCTGCGGCTGGCCCTGGTGAGCCACGATTGAGGGGGCGGGTACCTGGGCAGCCCTCCGACTGCCGGGGCTTGGCGGGAAGTGAAGGACTGGGGAGCAGTAATCATCAGCAAGTGCTGACCTGGCCAGAACCTGTCAGGCGCCGCCGCTCCACTCTTTAGATCTCTCCTGCGAGCGGAAGTGGGGTCTGTGTTGTCTGAACACCCTGTGAACCGAGTACCTGGCATTAGCCTCTTCCGTCCGGGGGCTGGGATCTGGGAAAACTGCAAGATAAACACCTATCGTATCCCTCTTCTCCTCCTTCTGGGAAGAACCCGCGAGCATATGCATTTAAGCCCCATTACACCTCCTATTTAGTCTGTGACCACACCAGCCACGCCCTCTGCAGAATCAGACTGAACGACTTCTTAAGTGCTTGGCGTGGAGGGGTGAGGTGATGCGGGAGCCTGGGCGTTTGGAAATGTTTTAAAAGGCTCCCTCTGACCCCTAGAGGAGGGGACAGTAGAAGACAGAAAAGGTGCTGTCCCAGCTAGGGTTTGGCCTCCCTCGCCCACCCCCAATCAGTGCACTCTTCCACCAGACATTTTCCCTGCATTCCAGATTCATGTTGACTGGGCAGCCCTGAGTGTGTTTGTTTTGGTTTGAAGAGGGAAATGGTGTTCTTCTCTTTCTTCTGTTCTCCTTCTAACAGCAGCAAGGAGAAGGGGCGGGAAGAGCTAGGAGAGGGGAGGGGAGTAGGTTTTATCCAGCTGCCCGCCCCTCCCATGCTCGCTCATGCCCAGAGGGACATGTGCAGGTCTCAGAGGTTTCTCTGCATGAGTGCTGTGCGATGAAGTGGGCAGCTGGGGGAAGAGGGTGGCTGGAGGAGGTGAGGATGGAAAATGACGGAAAGGGGAGTAGGATGGGGAGGATATTAGGACAGTTTAGGCAGGCCCCTTCCACCTTTCTGGTTAGGTGACCTGCCAGGCTTTTGCCCCTTCCTTGCCTCTGACCCCTCTGAACTAAAAGACCTGGTGAGGTTGAATGTGTTGAAACCTCTTCCTGCTCTGGCTGGTGCCTGCAGAAACTTGAGGAAGTCTGGAATGTTCAAAGTCCAAACTGCTTCAGCCTTGGCCTCTGCCCTGCTGGCCCAGCCCTTGCCCAGTTTACCTACCTGGACTTAGCCTCCTTTTCATCAGGCTTCTGCAGAAGGTAGGGCTACCACACCCTTCCCACCCAGGCCCAACAGCTGCTGACTGGCTTTAGCGAACCCTCTATCTTTCAGAAGCCTTGAATAATCATGGGTACAACTTTCTATAGCTGTGTCTTTCTGTCCTAGCCCAAAAAATTATCAGGTGTTTCAGTGCCGTAGTGGGAAAGATCAGACTGGAAAGAGAGTAATAAAATGATTCTGTGGTTCCTCCCCCTCTGCTATGTGACCTCGAACAAGATATTTTCCTTCCCAGGCTGGTTTTCTCCCTAAAGGGGTGGGACCTGGATCTATATGCTTCTTCCTACCTCTTTTGGCTGATGAGAGGCAACTTGGCATTGTAGAGGGAGAGACGAGGCTTAGAATTCCACTGCCAGTGTCCTGTCTTGGATCTGTCACTAACACCTGAGCCTTAGTTTCCTCACATATCCAGGGAAGGGGAACAACATGTCTTGTTTGTTTGTTTGTTTGTTTGGTGTGTTTTGAGTTAGGGTCTTGATAGCCCAGGCTGGCATCAAACTGGGTATACCCCTGCCTCTATCTGCAGAGGGCTGGGATTATAGGTGTGTACCACCACACCTGCCTACTGTACTGGGTATTAGTGGGTCATTAATAAGATAGTGTGTGTAAAATGCTCTACATGTGCCTACTTCTTTGAGGAGCAATGTAAGACTCTGGGACTGAGGCCAAGATGTGGGTGAACCTCTTTCTTCCATGGGCCCCACCCAAGATAGCCAAGCAAAGGAATTCTACTTTCCTTCCTAGGCAGTTGGAGAGGTACTAAAACTAATGAACCCTCAAGAGGTATCCTCCCATTGGGTATCCTCAGTCTTGCCCAAGGGTGCTTCTGTATCTTGTCTTATCTCCTCATATTACTGAGTCCAACCTTTTGGTCCTTTGGGAGAGCCAGCTGGGCCAGCTGGTCTTCACTGTCGCCAGCTGTATAGCCAGATGTGAACAGCTGTCTAAATGCACAGCTCCAGGGAACTAGTAAGTCAAGCTGCAGCCTTACATTCTGTGAGCCTCAAAATCCCCTTGGAAGAGCAAGAGAATTCATGGTCCTGACAGGCCCTTCGTCTGGGGGTGGGAGATTTTCAGGAGATGTAGGAACTCCTAGAAGTATCTACAAAATTGTAAGGTTTCTTTTTTTTTTTTGGTGGGGGCGGTGCTGGGACTTGAACTCAGGCCTCACATTTGCTAGGTAGGTGCTCTACTATTTGAGACACACTCCCAGCCCTCAAAATTGTGTGTTTGTACATCATCCTGGGGGTAGAAGGAGGGGAGAGCATACTTGTATGTTCTCAAAGGCATTGTCTCAGTAATGGTTAAAAATCCAAGATGGACTCTCTTTGTTGCCCCATCACCTTCATCTCCGGACTGGGGTTTCCCACCCACAGCCCAGGCCCCAAGTTCCCAGTCTCTGGAAGGGAGTGAAGAGGCTTTTTGGTGAGATGCATGAGGGTCTCTTAGAGGGAGGGGGATTATTGCCCTGAGAGGGGTTACTGACCCCTGCACCTGCGCTTTCATTTTCTCCTGCTCTGGCCTGACTTTGTAGACTGTGAGCCCCCCCTCCCTTTCACCCTTGGCTGGAAATGAGGGTGTCTGGGAGGCCTGGAGCGGGACTGGCTGCGGCTCGTGGAAATGAGGTCATGCCTAAGGTAGGCAGGAGCTGGGCTTACCTTCTGTGTTCTCCTGAAACATGCTCCCTGGGCAGGGCGGGTGCCTGGCAGCTTTCATGGCTCGTGCCAGCAGAAATGGCACAGCAGCTGTGGCTGCAGGCAGAAGACTGCACATAGAACATCTTTTTCCTCTGGCTCTCTCCAGTGGCTAAGGGCCTTTACAGTGGGCTGGAGGTAGAGAAGAAGGCTTATCTGGTGGAAAGAGGGACTGAGCTTAGATGCTTTAAAGGGTCAAATATGGACAAAATGCTGAAGAGCCAGGGAAAGGGAGAAGAATTGAGAAAAATAGCCTTGCTCTTTTTATCCAAGGCTCTGCCAAGGCCTCCTTCTCCCATACTTCTTTGCTCTGGTTCTAGGGCTGAGTCACGGGGGGGGGGGGGGCGGGGTGGGTATGGTAAGGAGAGTAGGGGAGGATGGCAGGGCTGCAGTTTCAGCCGCCATAGAAGCAGCCTCTGGGGAGGTGGCTAATTTGGGTAGCAGGGCTGGCGCAGCGCTGGGATCCAGGCATCTAAGAACTAACCCCCCAATCCCTGGGTTGGAGCAGATCCCTCTCCTCCGCTTCCTGGCCTAGCATAGGAGGGGAGTAGCTCCTGACTAAAGACCCCATGAGTAAGACCGTGTGGGCCCGTGAACTTGATTGCTAGGTCCTATGGCCCCTTCTGAAGCTTCCCCATAGGAATCAACACACACACACACACACCCTGAGATGAAGATCCTGCTGCTTTGAGCATTGCCCCACCCCAGTGTCCTGGGAGTCCTCTTCCCTTTTGGGGTGAGCCAGCCTGGTACCCTGAAGTCTCCTGGGCCCCACTCCTCAGCCTTCGCCCTTTCTGCTGCTTTCTACTTAGCTGTTCCATTAGCTTTGAACTGCTGGGGAGGAGCAGTGGGGCAGTGAGGAAGAGCTTTTCCTTGCATTTGAACTTGGGCCTCCCCAGAGGCCTGGAGGAGCTTTCTGGCTGGAGCCAAGTTAAAGGGTGAGGAGGCAGCTGTTTTTGAGACCTTGATTGGTCATTTCACCCATCCCCCCACCTCCAGGTGGGCTCTCTGCTCCCCTCCCCCACACCCCAGCTTCACTCTAGGAGATGGGAGGTCTTATCGTCTGTCTTCCTCCTTCAAGAGCTCCACCTAGGCACCTTCCATTTCATCTCCCCTTCCTGACAGACTGGGAGATGGCTTCAGTGGCAGTCTGGGAGGGGTCTTATTTTGGACTCTTTCATTTATTTATTTTTCCTTCTTAGACTTTGAGAAAGATTTTGGACTGTACGATTTAGATGAGACCCAATAGCAGGTAGCTAGCAGAGATACTTATGTGCATAATATTTACATTTAATTTGCATAACAGTAAGTTCCCTCCCACCCTCTAGATTCTCTAGCTCTTACCATGCACACCTGGCTGGAAGAAGCAGGCCTGACCCTCAGCACACCGCCTGTCCCCATCTGTGCACAGGCCTCTGGCTTCAGACCCATTGGATCCTGGGCTGGGAGCCAGAGGGCCTTAAAGGGCCTCTAAGCCGGCCAAGTAGAAGCTAAAAATACTCTGGGGGGGGGGGGTGGCTCCCTGTGGAATCTCTGAGGAGGGAGGGGCTTGGGATGTGGGGCTGGGATTAGGGCACTGACCCTGCCCCATCCCCCATCAGTGGGCACAAGTTAAGAGGAGGGGTCCCTTAGCCATTCCTGGCTGAGACAAGGTTGCTGGGAGGCATGGAGACCCCATCTCCTCAGGTACCTACTGCCTGACAACAGGTAGGGCAGCATCAGCAATGAGGGCTGTACCTATTCTCCTTGGCTGCATAGAGGGCAACCTGAGCCCTCAAGGGTCCCCTTTACCCACTGAAGCCTGCAGCCCTTTAAGGTCATTGTAGCTGGACCTCCATCACCTGCAGTCAACTCTGGTTTCCCTCCCTAGAATGAAGAGCCACCTGTGCCTACCCCCGAACAACCCTTTAGTGACTCCCTGGTTTCCCCAGACCTCTGGAAGTCCTATTTATGTTCCATCCCCTACTCCCCGTAAACAATGGCAGTAGTCTGTCCTTTTGGCTCTGCTTCAAGCTCCCTAACCTGGATGGGCAGATTCCTGGGTCAATGGATGGGAGTCTGGGGTCAGACTAGGGCCAGTCTCGGTGCTACAAGAAACCAGAGCAAACCAGAGCAACGTTGCTCACATAGGCCATGGCTTTGTAATCGGAAAACCCTTTTGCCAAATGAACCTATTTGTTCCTCCAACAACCCTGGAGGTTGGCAGGACAGCTGCTGTCTCCATTTTACTGAAGGAACTCAAGGCTCAGAGAGGGAAAGGAAATCGCCCTTTGAGGCAGAACCCACCCTAGAACCAGGTCCCCAGCTCCTAGGCTGAGATGTTCCTTTCCCAAGGGTCCTGGCTTCCTTCTCTCATCTGCCTGGTGCATTAGGGGCAGAAGTCCATGGGTGGTCAGGCAGTGGAGTCAGGAGGCACCTTCCCCAGCGGAGACAGAAGGTGACTAACTTCCTGGCTGCTTCCTGTGGTGCTCATAGCACTATGCTCAGGGAAGCTTCTCCCTTGCTCCTAGGAACACTTCCCCAGGGTAAGGTGTTAGCTGCAGATGTGAGGTGCAGGCAGAGGTTCTGCTCCTTCCCAGCACCTCCTGGGGCAGTGCATTCCTGACTCCCAGTGGGTGGAGGTACCCCAGGCCCCAGCATGCCCAGGCTCTGCCCTGCCCACTCCCTGTCACCCTCACTCCCAGGTCCCAGGCAGGGCTGCAGGCGTGGGATGGCGTTGCTCTGGTGTTGCTCGGCAGGACTTCTGAGCTGGGAGCTTCAGGGCCACAGTGTTCCTGGGGCCGAATGGAGGGGCACTTGGTAGGTGCTTGCCAGCCAGGCTGAGCCATCAGGACTGAGGAGGGGGTCCTGGCAGAGCACTGAGAGGCTGCAGGGAGATGATGGGGGGAGAAGGCAGCATGGGAGAACTGGGTTCTCAAACTGGGGTGCACCAAATTCCATCCATTTGGCCTGGGGTGGGCTAGGAATGTCCTCTTTTACAGATATCCCAGGGATTTCCAATGCAATGGTCCAAGGACTGTGCTTTGTGCTAGTATTTCAGGGCTGGTTTGCTGCTTTCTGCTCATCACCCCTTTGGTAGGAGATAGGTTGCCAGTGCCCTAGCACCCTTGTAGTAACTTGCCATTAGTGTCCATAAAGATGGATTCTGGGGGCAAGGCGATAGTACTTATTCACTCTCACCCACTGGGAACTCTGCTTTTGGGCCACATTGTCCAAAGTGTCAGGTACTAGTCCCACCCTTAGCTTGTATGCCTGTGTCAAAGTGGGTATGTGTGGGGAGGAATGCGAACATCACTCAAGTCATTTAGGGGCTCAGGCATCCTAGATCTAAGTCCTTGGATACCTTCAAGAGGAAGAACTCCCACTTCTGACAACCCACCCCATCCCCTGAATTTGAACCCAATGCCAGGATTCCCCCCTTCTTTCTCTCTTCTGGTCCACCTTCCTCTCAGAAGCCAAAGCATTCCTTCCAAAACCCAGATGTGACTGTGGCACTCCCTGTGGCTCCCCAAGGCCCTTCTCATCCTCCCCTTGCATTCCTCCTGGTTGTTTTGGGCTCCAGCTGTGTTGAGGACCTGGTCCTTGAATCATGCTGCTTGCTCATGCCTCCTGGCCTTTGCACATGCTGTCCCTTTGCCAAAAGTGCCTTTCCCTTTCTCATTGGGTGACCCCTGGTCATCATCCTCAGACATAGGTTGAACCTTGTCTGACAGCCAGCTCCCTGCTGAATTAGGGCTGGTTTGCTCCATGCTTTTTGCCATGAGATATGTGTATTGAACCTGACCATTCCAAGCCTGCCTTCCCTGACACTGGGCTGTCCTGGAAGACAGGGGCCGAGTTCCAGTAATGTCCCAACCCAAGAATCTGGATGGGAGATGAAATTCACTAAATGCGTGTGAATAGCAAGTTACTCAGAGGGTGCCTTGGAGAGTTTGAGCCCAGCCCACCCGCCTCTCTGTCCCTAGGCTCCTGGCTGGTGCCCCGCAAGACTTCGCCGTGCCTGATGGCTATACCAACAGGACTGGTGCTGTGTACCTGTGCCCCCTCACTGCCCAAAAGGACGACTGTGAGCGGATGGACATCACGGAGAAAAGTGAGGAGAAGGGGCTGGAGAGCCGTGGGTTAGAAGCCTGGCAGACAGACGAGATAGAAGGCTTACTTGCTTCTTATTCAGTGGGAGGAGGGAGTCCTGGAGGAGAGTGGGGCATGTGGGGTTGGTGGAGTTCAGAGTAAGAATGGGCAGAATGGGAGAAGGGAGGGCTGCCCCGCTGGAGTGGAGGGTTCACTTGTGCCCTCTGGAAGCTTTGGGCACTGGACTGTGGGTTGAGGTGCCCTGGCTCATGATCCCTTCATGCTCACAGGTGACCCTGACCATCACATTATTGAGGACATGTGGCTTGGAGTGACTGTGGCCAGCCAGGGCCCTGCAGGCAGAGTCTTGGTGAGTGGATACTCATCTGGCCCCAGCCCCCACTCCAGTTCCCTCTGTCTTCCAGGGGCTGTGGGTTAGCAGAGGCCAGCAGGGGTCCTCTGAGTGTTCTTGTGCTGGACCTTTGCAAATGTCCCCTTCTGTGGCTATGTGTCTCCATAGGCCTGTATGTCCCCCACTTTCTGTACTCCTAGAGAGTGGGGGTATCTGGCACTCTGCCAAGGCTGGGTATGGCCTGGGTCCTGTGTGAGTCACCCACTTCCTCCCTGTACCCTCATGGGATGCTCAGCACTCGTGGGAAAGAGCAGAGGGAACTTGGTGGAGGAAAGGGCAGAGAGGGCCCCAGGCGGCTGGGCACTGGCTGGCACTCCTTCCTGGGAGGCTGGCTGCCGGAAGAGGCACAGCCCTGCTGACCCTGGCTCACCCAGCTCTGGTTTGGGGACCACTCCCTACTATCAGTTGTCACCTCCTACCAACATTTTTTAGTGCCAGCCCCCAGGGGTCTCAATTTCTGTGTCCCAGATACGACATTTGTTTAAAATCGATTTATTACGCACATACAGTGAACTGTATAATTTTTAACTTTTTATGATGCTATGTTGGATTTTTTGTTTGTTTGTTTTGTGGTACTGGGGTTTGAATTCAAGACCTTGGTGCTCTGCCACTTGAGCCACACTGCCAGCCCTTTTTGCTTTAGTTATTTTTTGAATAGGGTCTTGCTTTTATGCCAGGCCAGCCCATACCACAATCCCAGTTACACCTCCAGCCTAGCTGAGATGAGGGGCATGTGCCACCACACCCAGCTTTTATTGGTTGAGGAGGGATTTTGAGAACTTTTTTGCCTAAACTGGCCTCAAACCATGATCCTCCCAATCTCTACCTCCTGAGTAGCTAGGATTATAGACATGAGCCACTGCACCTGGCCCAATTTTCTATAAGTTTTGACAAATGTATTTTCCTGTATAACTGGCACCCCCATGAAGGTAGAGCATATTTATATCACTCCAGAAAGTGCTTCCTTCCAATCAGTCATCACCCCCATAGCCATCAACTGCTCTGATTTCTGTCACCTTCGAACATTGTTCTAAACTCCAGGTTGACATAAGTTCACTGAAATGCGTTTTTGCACCTCTTCATGCGTGGTGTGGGTCTAGGAAACTGTTTAAAGTGATTCTAGACCCTGGGTCCTTAGCAATTAGCTAGCCGCCTATCCATTGATTCATACAACAAACACTGTGTTAGCACTAGAAACTGGCAGTGCCTCAAGATAGGCTCACATAAATACTAGTAGTGCTTATAGCTGGAAGGGGACATAAAAAGCAAATAAACAAAAACCTGAGCTGGGGGGGCATGGCTCAAGTGGTAGAGTGCCTGTCTAGCAAATGCAAGGCCCTGAGTTCAAACCTCAGTACTGCAAAAAACCAAAATACCCTAAAAACCTGTTTCTGAATTTTGCTTGGCTGCAGGCTGTTTTAAAGCACCCTATTCCTTTTTTTAAATTTCTTTTTGCTTTTCTGGTGCTGGAAATTGAACCCAGAGCCTTGGCAAGTACTCTCCCACACCCTCTGTCCAAAGCACCCTATTTTAATCCACTGATTTTCTCAATAAATAAATATATTGAGCATCTACAGTGCCTGAAGCTGTGCGTGATTCTTGCCTTTGTGAGTCAGCACAGCACAGTGTGTAAGAGCTCAGACTTGAAGCCAGCCAGGCTTGGTTTGAATTTTCTCTATCTGGATGTAAGATCTTGGGCAAGTTACTAAACTCTGTGTGACTTGGTTTCTTTATTTGAAATGGAGAAAATAGCTGGGTATGGTGGCTCACACCTGTAATCTCAGCTTCTTGGGAGGCCTAGGTAGGAAGATTGCTGTGTAAGGCTGGTCCTGTCAAAAAGCTCAAGATCCTATCTGAAAAATAGCTAAGACCAAAAAAATGACTGTGGGCGTGGCTCAAGTGTTTGAGCACTTGCTTAGCAAGCATATGACCCTGAGTTCAAACCCCAGAGCTGCCTGCCCCTGCCTCCAGTAAATAAATAAATAAATAAAATGATGAAACAAATTATCCCTGTAAGAGGTTTGTTAGCAGTCTTGAAAGAATTAATATGGAAAGAGCTTAGAATTGTGCCTGGCATATAGTAATTGCTCAATAAGTGTTAGCTACTGCTATTATTTTAATTTTTTTTGGCTGCACTGAGGTTTAATCTCAGGGCCTCATGCTTGCTAGGTATGTGTTCTTACCACTTGAGTCATTCCACCAGCCCGCCCCCTCCACTGCCTTTTTTTTTTTTGTGATGGATTTTTTCAAGATAGGGTCTCACAAACTATTTGCCGGGGGGCTGACTTCAAATCATGATCCTCTTGATCTCTGCCTCCTGAGTAGCAAGGATCACAGGCGTGAGCCACTGGTGCCTTGTTTGCTATTATTATTGATGCTAGTATTATCATTATTACTATTTAATAATGGTCCCTTTGTTAAGCAACAGGTCATCTGGGGACAGAGAAGCAAATTCCCTAATCTCTCTGTAAATGGTCCCTTTAATCCAGGAGTCTAAGTCCCTCAGTCCCTCATCCTTTCAGCAAGACCTCTAAGCTGTTCCCAAACCCATACCTTTTTGGCTTCACCCTAAATACTTTTCTGATCTTTGAAATAAATTCTCATGGAAAGGGCGTACAGGCTTAAGTATCACTGCAGGAAGAAGTAGCCGGAAATCCTCCTTCAGCCCTTGTCTCACAAAGCCAGTGGTGTCTGAGGTGAGGGACACAGCTTGCTGTGTGTCCTCATTCCTGGCTAAGGCTTTATGGGTTGGGCTTCCCCAGGTCTGTGCCCACCGCTACACCCAGGTGCTGTGGTCAGGGTCGGAGGACCAGAGACGCATGGTAGGCAAGTGTTATGTGCGGGGCAACGACCTAGAGCTGGACCCCAGTGATGACTGGCAGACCTACCACAACGAGATGTGTAATAGCAACACAGACTACCTGGAGACGGGCATGTGCCAGCTGGGCACCAGTGGCGGCTTCACCCAGAACACCGTGTACTTTGGTGCCCCTGGTGCCTACAACTGGAAAGGTGAGGAACATGGGAGAAGGGAGGAGCACCAAAAATCACAAACAGAAAGAATCATACTAATTGTGCTGTTCTGTTACTTTCTCTTTTCACTTATTAAAAGTTGTGGGCATTTTTTCATGTCAATACCTGTAGGACTTTTTTTTTTTGGTGGGACTGGTGTTTGAACTCAGGGTTTCATACTTGCAAAGCAGGTGCTCTGCCTGTTGAGCCACCCCTCAAGTCCATTTTGGTCTAATTATTTTGGAGATGGAGGACTCATGAATTATTTGCCCAGGCTGGCTTTGAACTGTGATCCTCCCGATCTCAGCTTCCCAAGTAGCTAGGATTACAGGTGTGAGCCACTGGTGCCCAGCTGGGACTGTCTTTTTAGGACTGCAGAGTATTTCCCTGTAGCAAGGATTCATGTTTGTAACTATCACACTACACACTGTCCTACAGGTGTCTGATGATTCTCACTGCCATCATGTCTGCCTCTCCCCATCACACAAGTTGTAGCAATAGTGACATGTCTTCCTTCCTGAGTCCTTATTGTTGCAGAATCAACAAGTGGTCGAGAACCTCCTCCTGGGATGGTGGAGTAGCTCAAGTGGTAGAGTACCTGCCTAGCAGGCATGAGGCCCTGAATTCAAACTCCACCAAAAAAAAGAATGTTCTCCATTGATAACAGGGAGCCTGATGTGGTCAGTTTTGTCTCATGAAAGGCTGAGGCTCTGTCCCCTCCTGTGGTCCGGACTCACTCCATCTTGGCAGGAACACAGGTCCTTTCCAACAGCAGCCCCGGGAGCATGGGCCAGGCAGGTAGCTTGTGTTTAGGGGGTGGGACCAGGAGATAGTAGTGTGGCTTCTGACCATGATGTCTAGAAGGTGTGCAAGCATGGGCTGGTGTCTAATACCCAGGAGTCTGGATGGCAGGATTCCAGCCATGCTGTACATGTAGCTCCCGTGGGACTATGAGCAAGTACTGTTACTCTCCTTGAGTCTCATTTTTCTCATCATTCTTTCTCACAGAATTGCTAAAGACAAAGTGATTTACAAATGGCCAAGTGCTCACAAATCAATGAGATTATTATTATGGAGGGCTGAATGTGGTGGAGGGAAGGGTGGTAACTAATATGTCCTCCTATTTCCCCAAATCTTTGTGTAGGAAACAGCTACATGATTCAAAGGAAAGATTGGGATTTATCTGAGTACAGCTACAAGGACCCAGAGGGCCAAGGAAACCTCTATATTGGTGAGTCCAGTGCTGGTGGCCCACTGGGTAAAGGAGGAATGCCAGCTTGGTTCCTAAAACACTAGCTCTCTCTCCTACCTCCATGTGTGGTGAAGGGAAGCTGTAGGTGTGACTAGTGGCATTTAGTTTGACTAGCGCACATTTATTGTGCACTGAATGTATGTCAGGCTCTTTTCCAAGCTCCCAAGTGCAAAGTTGCTACTCTGACAGAGCTCACAGTCAAACTTGCAGGCAGGACTAGAGACTGAGATGGGGTGTGGCCACTGGGCAACCAGGGACCACCTTGAAAAAAAATAAAAGGCACAGGGTCTTGCTAGGTAGCCTAGGCTTGCCTGGAGCTTGTTTATGTAGCCCAGGCTGGCCTCAAACTCTGGATCCTCCTGATTTGGCCTCCAAAGTGCTGGGATTATAGATGTGGGCCACCATACCTGGATGGGGGGACTGCACTTTTTTTTGCCCAACTTGGTACAGAAGATGGGGGGCAACTACTAGGGGATAAGTACAGAGTAGAAAGGAACAAAGATTACTGGGAATCTGATTGAACACCTTCACTTTTTCCCTTATCCCAGGATATACGGTGCAGGTGGGCAGTGCCATCCTGCATCCTACAGACATCACTATTGTGACGGGTGCCCCTCGGCACCGACATATGGGTGCCGTCCTCTTGCTGAGCCAGGAGGCAGGTGGAGACCTGCGGAGGAGGCAGGTGCTGGAAGGCACGCAGGTGGGCGCTTATTTTGGCAGCGCCATTGCCCTGGCAGATCTGAACAATGATGGGTGAGAATCTAGAGACATGGGACATCATTTGGGGCCATGGAGAGAAGTGGGAGGAGGGCCAACTTGCCCAAGAAGGGCAGGGAAATGGGAGCTTTGCAATTGTGCCTTTGCTGTTTGTAGGGTTTTGTAAAGAGACTTAGTGGGAGTCTGGACATTTGCATGTTATTTGCATGACACCTGGGCTTGTTTGTCTGTGCCTGTCATTGTATAGCTCCAGTGGAGCCAGGCTGTTTGGTGAGTGTGAGCTTTGCCTGCATGGCTTCTCTGTGATGTGCACTTCTGAGCCACCATTTGCACAGCTGTGTGCCCTGGCACAATCATGCCTGTTAAATGAGAGTTCTGCTGTATATTGGGGGCCAATGTCACACTCCCATCTCCCATCTTCTCCTCTGTGCAGGTGGCAGGACCTCCTGGTAGGTGCTCCCTACTACTTTGAGCGTAAGGAGGAGGTTGGGGGTGCTGTCTATGTCTTCATGAACCAGGCGGGCACCTCCTTCCCTGCCCAACCCTCGCTCCTTCTGCATGGCCCCAGTCGCTCCACCTTCGGCTTCTCTGTGGCCAGCATTGGTGACATCAACCAGGATGGATTCCAGGGTATGAGCCAGCACCTCTCCCTCAGCATCCTCACTGACCGAGTGCCAACTGCATACCAGCTTGACAGGGCCCACAGAGGAGAAGGGATGGGACCCAGGTCCAGTTTATTCAGAGCAATACTTAGAGAGTCAATGTACAGAGTACCTGGTGGCCCTTCTGGAGAGGTTAATAATATCTGGGTAGAGAGTGCACAACTAAGAGGACTGGAAGGGGCACAACACCAGTGTGGGAACTTGTCTGATGGTCCCTAAGCTCGGGGCTGTGGAGTATTCCATCAGAGACAGGCTGGGGAGGCATTGTGTGGTGTGGTGAACACTTTGAAAGGCAGAGAAACTTGGCTTTCTATTGGGTAATGGTGAAAGTGGGAGTAGGGTGGGGGGCATCCAGAGAAAGTTTTGGAACAGGGATGTGATATGATAACTTGGTACCTAGAAAGATGATTCTGGAGGGGGCATGGGATGGAAGTGGGGGGTAAAAACAAGAATGTACAGTATCACGTGTGGTATGTAAGAAAAGCCTTGGACGAGGGTTACATCCCCTATACGCAGGGGTGATCACCAATACTCGACAGGATTTGTGGGTCAATCAGACCTAGAGGAATTGTGGAGAGGGACAGATTAGGGTGTGAGCCTGGTTGCCATGGGAACACCTGACTTATCCAAAAATCACTTGTCTGACAACCTTGGTTTCCCAGAACACAACTGAGAACCAATGAGAAGATGGAGGAGGCTGTCTAAAGAGGCAAAATGGGTGTCAGAAAGTTCAGCCAACAAAACCCATGCACTTCCATAGAAGTGTTGATGGTTTTTGCTTAGGACCTACTTACACTTCCTTGGCCTCCTTTACTAACAAGTTTGGCCTTCTGGTTACCCAGGCCCTATCAGATCAAATACAGCAAAAGAGAGAGTCCAGAAAAGTTTAAGATCATAAAATGTATCCCAACCCTTGGCATTAGACAGGCACAAGCTCAAGCATCCTCTCTTCTACTCATTAGTTGTGTGCCTCTGGGTTTTGAGTCTCATCTATGAAATGGTGACAGTAGTACCTACTCCACAGCATTTTTGTGAGTATTAAATAACATGAATGTGTTCTCACTACTAGCCAGCCACCAGTGGGGGACACTTCTTTATGTACCCTGCTGGTAAATGTCATTAGAAGAACCAGATTTCTATAGAGGAGGTTAGTGGAGGAGAGGGAAGGGGAGAAAACTGGGCAATAGTCAAGAATCTGTGGTGCAGGTCTGCCTGTGGTCTTGACTTGTGAGACTTTGAATAAATTATTTACCTTCTCCTGAACCTATCTTCCCACCTGAGCCACAGAACTCTGTAACTTCCCTGCTGCTCTGAGCACTTCTGGCAGGGGTGAGGTCAATGTCATGTTGGACTGTATGGTCTTCAGCACAGAATCAGGAAGATGTGGGGACAGGAAACCTGGGTGACCCTGTCCCACCTCTCCTCCCCAGACATTGCTGTAGGAGCCCCGTTCGAGGGCTTGGGCAAAGTGTACATCTACCACAGCAGCTCTGGGGGGCTCCTCAGACAGCCCCAGCAGGTATGGATTGATGGGGACACATTGGCTGCCCCAGCAGCTAAGGAGGACCTTCCCTCCTCTACCTCACCTGTCCCTTCCCTGTTCCCCCAGACCGCCCCCTCCCCAGAGCCCACCCCAGAGTCTGTCCTTACCACTTGTCCCTGTTCCCCAGGTAGTCCATGGAGAAAAGCTGGGACTGTCTGGCTTGTCCACCTTTGGCTACTCTCTGAGTGGGCAGATGGATGTGGATGAGAACTTCTACCCAGACCTGTTAGTAGGGAGCCTGTCAGACCACATTGTGCTGCTTCGGTGAGCCAGGGAATAATGGAAAGGGGCCTTTCTCTCTATCCTTGTCTGCATAGAGCCTCATATCTGCCCATCTTCAACACCAGTATCACAAAAGTCCACAGTCTTGGCCTAGGGCAGGCAGGAGCACTGATATCTGCCTGGTTCTGTTGTCTCTGCAGGGCCCGGCCTGTTATCAACATCCTCCACAGGACTTTGGTGGCCAGGCCAGCTGTGCTAGATCCCACGCTTTGCACAGCCACTTCCTGGTGAGACTATCAGCCCCTGCTCTGCCCACCTACTCCTCATATGTAGGTAGGCTGGGAGGGGCACCAGGTCCCAAGCACTTTTGGACTCTCCCGATATTCCACCTTTAGAGCCTGGGTTCTAGGGCCAGTATTGCCCACCCTGCCTGACCTCATTAAAAAACAAAATTCCTTGCAGGTCATAATGAATGAATTGTGACTAGTAGAGTGCAGTGATTAGGAATAGGAACTCAGGACCGCTTGATTCAAACCCCAGCTATACATTACAGGGGGAGGGGTGGGTTCTGAGAACTGAGATCCCAGAGGCAGAGGGAAGAGAAATGCTCTTATGTACATGGATGGAGGGAAGGAAGGAGAGTCAGCTTGGGCAAATTATTAATCTCTCTGAATCTCAGATTCCTCACCTGTAAAAGAGGTAATAACCAACTCATAAGGTTCTTGAGATTATTAAATGAGATAATGTACAAAAAGTCCTTAGGATAGCACTTCATATATTTTAAGTGCTCAAAAAATGTTACTGCCTGGTGCCAGTTGCTCATACCTGTAATCCTAGCTACTCAGGAGGCAGAGATCAGGAGGATCACAGGATCACAGTTTGAAGCCAGCCTGGGCAAATAGTTCACAAGAACCTAGCTCAAAAATACCCAACACAAAAACAGAGCTGGCAGAGTGGCACAAGTGGTAGAGCGCCTGCCTAGCAAGCGTGAGGCCCTCAATTCAAATCCCAGTACTGCAAAAGGAAAAAACAATGTTAGTTGCTAAGAAAGTAATGATAGTGATGGCAGTGACCCATTTATGTGAATGTGGATATTGTTCCTGAAGGTAAAGGTAGACAGAGCAGGGAAGCTGGGAGTGGGTGGTGGAAAGAGATCTTGATTGGAGAGCGTGAGGCCTGGGTTCAAGACTGCGCTGCGCTACTAATCGACCGATGACTTCAGACAAGTCCTGTTCTCTGGGCCTCACTTTCCCCGTTGGTGACCTTTAACCTTGCTTTCTAGGGCTCTAGTGGTAGTGGGAGAGAAGCGGTCAGGGACACCACAGACCAGCTTTGTGGACTCCCCAGTTTTGTCCCTGCCTTGCCCCAGAGAAGGGCCCTGGGTTCTCTTTGTCTAGTACAGGAAAGAGTGAGAGCTAGGGCCTGGTCGTCTGTCTCACTTTGACCAGACCCTCCTGTACATCCCCCCAACAGTGTGCAGGTGGAGCTGTGCTTTGCCTACAACCAGAGTGCTGGGAACCCCAACTACAGGCGAAACATCAGTGAGTGCTGGGTGCAGGGCAAGGGGGAGCATGCTCACCTGACCACTTGCTGACTGCCCTGTCTACCTGCAGCCCTGGCCTACACTCTGGAGGCTGACCGGGACCGACGCCCACCACGACTCCGCTTTGCCCAAAGCCAGTCAGCTGTCTTCCATGGCTTCTTTTCCATGCCTGAAATGCATTGCCAGACACTGGAGCTGCTCCTGATGGTGAGGGAGGAGCAGAGTGGGATGAGAACTCCAGGGTCTCTGGAGGAGGTGACTGGTATCCTCCAGGTCAGCCTGGAATGCCATAGATCTGGTGGATATGGACGAGGGCTGCAGTGCACAATACCTAGCACACGGTAGGGGAGAGATAAAGCCTTTGGATGGGGATGGGGCCAAGGGGCTCATCACCTCTGAGAAATGTGAGGGCCGTAGGAGCGGTAGGCTCCGCTCACCTTTGGGAAGAAAGGGTCCCTGATCAGGGGCAAGCTCCGTCCTCTCTCTGGAACATCTGTGTGGAAACCCCATAAATGAAGGGAGCTCTGTCTCTCTGGAGGGATCTGGGGGGAGGAGTGTCATCTCCTCCGGGCGGGGGATTGTCAAGATGGTGGAAACTCTTAATTTTTTTTTTTTTATAAGAACTAGAGGCGATTCAGTCTTGAAATGTGTTGCCAGACACTGGAGCTGCTCCTGATGGTGAGGGAGGAGCAGAGTTGGTTTTCAGTTTCTTCCCTGAGGCTTAGTCTGAGACTTAGGGTGGCATGGGATTCAAACTGGGGGACGGCAGTACTGAGTTCATCTCACCCTTCCTTCCCAGGACAACATCAGAGACAAACTCCGTCCCATAGTTATCTCCATGAACTACTCTTTACCTTTGCGGATGCCTGAGCGCCCGCGGCTGGGACTGCGGTCCCTGGATGCCTACCCAGTCCTCAACCAGGCACAGGCTTTGGAGAACCACACGGAGGTGGGCAGGGTTGCGAGGGCTGCAGGGACAGAGGGTACTGTTGGGGGGCGTCCTCTAACTCCTCTGACTGCCCTCAGGTCCAGTTCCAGAAGGAATGTGGGCCAGACAACAAGTGCGACAGCAACTTGCATATGCAGGCGGCCTTCGTGTCAGAGCGGCTGCAGCGCCTGAGCAGGTGGGCTCTGAGCAGCGCTGATTGGTCAAGGGTGAGGTGGGGTTCCATTGGCTAGCGTGGCTTGGGGGCGGGGCCCCACAGGCCAGGGGTGGGGCTTCACGGATGGGCGAGTCTGAGCAGAGGGACCGAAATGGGCCAATGGAGGGCTCCTTCCTGGTGAAGCTGTAAGCCGCACCTGCCTGACTGTTAGGGAAGGGACTTTCCACACCTAGAAGGCTCGAGGGGCGGGGCCTAGTGGATCAGGGGAGTACCCTGGGGGTGGGGCTCTTGGCTTAGTCTGGGGTTCCTCTCTTCAGGCTCCAGTACAGTAGAGATGTCCGGAAACTGCTCCTGAGCATCAATGTGACCAATATCCCAAGCCAGGAGCGGGCTGGGGAAGATGCCCATGAGGCACTGCTTACCCTGGAGGTGCCTCCTGCCCTGCTGCTGTCCTCAGTGCGCCCTGTGAGTGCCAGGCTCAGAAACCAAAGATTCTGAGTATGCATGTAATTTACATGCATTATCCTTTGCCATGTGCCTGCCTCCTCTGTGCTGGGCCTCCGCCAGGCCTACAGTGCCTCTGCTGCTTGGGGGACATGCCTCTGAGGGTTCTGACCCTGCTCTATAGCAGATGAGTACAAGCCCAACCCTGGCCTTATTTGTCTTCTGTCCTCAGTCTGGGACCTGCCAAGCTAATGAGACCATTCTGTGTGAGCTGGGGAATCCCTTCAAACGGAACCAGAGGGTAAGCCCTGGCCACTTGCTTCCACTACTTGTGAGTCTCAGGCTGTTCCTTCTCACCTGCCTGCCTCCCTTGCCCTCTCCCCTCCACACTTCCTTGAAGCAAAGAACCAGAGGTGGTGAGGAGAGGACCATAGCCTAAGAAAAATCGAGCTACTAGGGAGTTTGGCATAATGCTAGGGCAGGTGGAGGTGAGGAAACCAGTTTTGTTGAGCCTCTACTGTGCCCATCCCTGCCACTTTTATATCATTCTTACAGCCTTCTCTAAGGAGGTCATTGCTGTTTTACAGAAGAAACAGAAAAAGTTAGAAAGTTCAGTAACTTGTTCAAGGTCATGCAAAAGTAGCTGAGATCTCAAAAGTAGCAAGGATGTCATTCGAGGGTAACAAGGGAGGAAAGAGAGACATTAGGTGGCGAGGTGGAGACCCTTGCCTAGAATGGGAGGAAGAGGCCAGAGAACCATCTTCCTAGCTTGGTGTTTGGCTCTCTTCTTCCCTGCGGCATCATCCTGCTGGGCCACCAATGTCCCTCTCTGCTTCTCTGACTGACTCGGAGTAGATGGAACTGCTCATCTCCTTTGAGGTCATCGGGGTGACCCTGCACACCAGGGACCTTCAGGTGCAGCTGCAGCTCTCCACGTGAGTGACCCAGTGAAGGTGAAGCCAGTCTTGTTGGGGCTGAGGTTGTGTCCTGGGTCTCCTTCCTACCCCCTGAATTCTCTCCCCAGATCAAGTCATCAGGACAACCTGCGGCCCATGACCCTGACTCTGCAGGTGGACTATACACTCCAGGCCTCTCTCAGCATGTAGGTACCACTCTGCTCCCCACTCCACCCCACCTCAGCCTGCTGTGCCTGAGCCAGGGCCTCCTGTCCCCAAGATTATCTCCTAGGCTCCTCTGACACTTCTCTTGACCTGGTGTCCACAGGCCTCCTCTTCCCCTGGACCATTCTTTCTCTTAGTAATAGCAGTGACTATCATGATCGTTATTATTATTCCCCTTTGCTGCCCTTCCTCCCCCCACATAAAGCAGGTAGAAGGGAAGAGATCAGCAACCTTACAGCTAAGGTGTTCATCTCTGCCATTTTTTGAAAGCTCATTGTGCAAAGGATTTTGCAAACATATTATTGACTTCTCACAACTGCCTGGGATATATCAGCTACTACTAATTCTGCTTTACAGACAAGGAAACTGAGGCTCAGAGAGGAAAAATAATTTGCTGGAGGCCACACAGCTGGTAAACGGCAGAGCTGGGGTTTGTACCCAGGTCCACTTGATGTCAGAGGAGCTGTAGTTAACAGGGAGTGGTGCCATTCTCTCAGCCAGAGGCCCTGGCTTCCTATCCCCCATGATTCAAGAGTCTTTGTTATCCCCAGGATAAATCACCGGCTACAGAGCTTCTTTGGTGGGACTGTGATGGGCGAGTCTGGCATGAAGTCTGTGGAGGACGTGGGAAGCCCTCTTAAATATGAATTCCAGGTAAGTATACCTCTGGGGTCCTGGCTGATGGGAAAGGTGATAGGGGGTTTGTTCTGAGTCTGCAAAAGTCATATAAAAGTAGCAGAGATCTCAAAAGTAGCAGGGGTGTTACCTGAGGGTTACAAGGGAGGAAAGCAAGACAGATATTAAGTGAAGAGGTGGAGACCCTTGCCCAGAATGGGAAGAAGGCCAGAGAACCATCTCCCTAGATTGGTGTTTGGAAAGGGGATAGAGGGTTTGTTCTGAGTTTGGGGTCTGAGGGCAGAAAGGTCTGGGGAATGGGTGAAATTGAGGTGGTTTTCTAGGAGACAGTAATCATGATGCCTCTTGGGCCCACAGGTGAGCCCAGTAGGGGAGGGTCTGGCAGTCCTGGGTACCCTGGTCCTAGCTCTGGAGTGGCCCTATGAAGTCACCAATGGCAAGTGGCTACTGTACCCCACGGAGATCACTGTCCATGGCAATGGGTCCTGGCCCTGCCTCTCCCCGGGAGACCTCATCAATCCTCTCAACCTCACTCTCTCTGTAAGTTCATCCTCAGGGATGTTCATTTACATCTCATTTGCATGCTGCTGGGTGGAAAGGAGAGTGTCTTCCCCTCCCTCCCCTAAGACTCTTTGGGAGCCTGACACTCCCCCTGCCCTTTCCCCCTCCCATATTTACTTCTACTTCTTCCTCTGCCTTCTCAACGAATCTCTTCCCTCTTCAGGATCCCAGGAACAGGCCACCATCTCCACAGCGGAGGCGCAGACAGCTGGATCCAGGGGGAGGCCAGGGGCCCCCACCTGTCACTCTGGCTGCTGCCAAAAAAGCCAAGTCTGAGACTGTTCTGGTGAGTGGTTAGGGCAGGGATGAAGAGGATTGCATTCAGCCCATCACAAGGGAGACTGCTTACTGGGAGACCCCCGTCTAAAGAGGTGATGTAGGCCCAGCCCTCAGGAGCTTCCAGACAGAGGGGAGACTTATCTCCTGCCTTGAGGGTGTCCTGCTCTGACAGGAAACATCCAGTAACAGTGGACCAAAGGAAGCCCCGCCGGCTCTATCCCAAGGAGTCGCAACCTGTTGGGGACCATATAGCCTTGGACCTTAGGGCTAGAGAATAGAGAGGGGCAGGAGGAAGTATGGGGTAGGGCGCCCTCTGTAGGTAGGGAGAGGAACAGGCCTAGGAAGCCAGTGGAGGCCTAGCTGGGTGGAGAGATGGGAGATAGTGTCCCGGGTTAGGAGCTGACATCAAGAAAGCTTCAGTTTGGCAGGAGGTGGTGAGGGGTTCTGAAGTTGGACTTCATTTATCTGATCAGGAATTAGATTTCATGTTACCCATGTTCCTGGCATCATATGAACCTGGCCCAAGAATGTGTCTTAAATGTTTAGTGTAGGGTAGGAAGTGTGGGTGAGCAGAGAGATGGAGTCAGGCCCCTTTAGTCACTCAGCTAGGAGTGAAAGCTAGGAGGGTGGAAGGGAAGGGGGGAAGCAAGAATAGTCTGGAGACCCAGGCTGTCTCATGTCTTGTGTTCCTGGCCCACCTCAGAACTGTGCCACTGGCCTTGCCCGCTGTGTGTGGTTGGAGTGCCCCATTCCTGATGTCCCCACCATCACCAATGTGACTGTGAAGGCACGGGTGTGGAACAGCACCTTCATTGAGGTCAGCACTGGGTCTGGGGGTTTCCACTGTACCCATTTGTGTGGGGAGAGAGGGATAAGGATGGAATGGGATGGGAGGGATCTGTGTATGTGTTGGTGTGGGTATACGGCATTGTGTTCTACACAGTTGTGTGTCCATCAGTGTTATGGCTGCAGGTGTGTGTGTGTATGTGTGATGTTTCTGTAATCTTCTCTCATGTGTCCATTGTGTCTTTTGTTCTATCCTGTTCCTATTACTTTCCCATCTCCATGCCTTTGCCCCTGTTCTTTCCCCATGGAATGCCAGCTTCCATTCTATCTCTGTGTATAAATTCCTATTTAGCCTTCAAGATTTCCATCATCTTCCTGACTTTGCAGCTGAATTGAGCTCTCTGCACATCCCAGAACTTTCTCTGAAGCCATGCATACCGCCTATCATGTCTGACTCTGGGTGTGGTTACCCAGTGCCAACCATTTTTGTCACCTAAAGCAAACTTTTTAAAAAAGGGGTTTTCTTGGTGATACTGGAGTTTGAACTCAGGGCTTTGTGCTCACAAGGCAGGTACTCCATAGTCAGCCATGCCTCCAGCCCTTTATTTTGGAAATGGGGGTCTTACTTTTTGCCCAGGCCAGCCTGGACCGCTATTCTCCTAGTTTAAGCTTCCCACCACTGGGATGACAGACACTTGCCACCATGTCCAGCTATTGCTTGAGCTGGGGTCTAATGGACTTTGCCCAGGGATGGCTTCCAACCTGAAATCCTCAGAATCTCTGCCTCCCAAGTAGCTAGGATTATAGGCATGAGCCTCCAGCTCCCGGCTAGACCAAACTTTTTCTGTGATGAGATTATCAATCTTTTCAGCTTTCTGGGCCAGGTGGCCTTCTATTGCACCTAATTGGTTCCACCATTATAGCACAAAATCTGCCATAAACAAATGAATAGGCATAGCTTTGTGCCCAAAATACTTTATTTACAAAAGCAGGAGCTGGGCTGGATTTAGTCTACTGGCCTGACTTCATTGTGTCCTCTGTCCCCAGCACCTAGCACCGGAGCTGATGCACTTGTGTGTGGAGGAGGGGCCTGACTGACAGATCCCTTGGGGCAGATGCTTAAAGATGCTGCCTGCCTGGTGGGAGAGTGAGGGGGTGTAGTGCTTAGGGACAGGAGGGAGGCTCAGAGGGACTTCAGCTGCTCCTTTTGACCCCACTATCCTCCTTTCAGGATTATAGAGACTTTGATCGAGTCAGGGTAGATGGCTGGGCTACTCTGTTCCTGCGAACCAATGTCCCCACCATCAACATGGAGAACAAGACCACCTGGGTGAGTGAGCATGTTACTGAGGGCTGTGGGCTCTGGCCAAGACATGGTGCATCAGACACCTTAAGAGCACGTTGGCATGCTTTAGCGTTTGGTTCTCAATCTTGGCAACACATTAGAATTGTCTGGAGGGCTTCTGGTGTTGAGACCACATCCCAGAGTGGTTAAATCTGACCTCTGGACTGGTTGCAACTGTGCTGGAATGTTTAAAAGGACCCCTATGTGATTCTGATGTGCAGTCAAGGTAGAGAACTACTGCCTTTATCTGTGAAAGTGCTCCAGGAAGAGTAGGGCCGGGATTGATTGTATCTCTATTTTATGGCTGAGGAAACTAAGGCTTAGAGACATGGAGTGACCTGTCCAAAATGAAATAACCTGTCAGGGGCTGGCACCTGGTTCTCCACATCCACTGTGAGCATGTGATCTTCTGGCCACAGGCAAGGCAGAGAGCAGCAAGATAATAAGGCCCAAGGGAGTGTCCTCCAAGAGAACCTGACCAGCATTTGCAGATGGCGTGATTGTCCATATGGCAGAAAAGAGAAGTGATTGAGAAGCTATTGGGCCCAGTAAGAGAGTCCAGGAAGTCCAGGAACTCAAATCAAGATCAAAATACCAAAGCCCATAGGTTGACTACATGCTACCAATCAAAGATATACTTGAGCAGGCACTGGTGGTGTACGCCTATAATCCTAGCTACTCAAGAGGCAGAGAGCAGGAGGATTGAGGTTGGAAGACAGCCCCAGGCAAATAGTTCTTGAGACCCTATCTCAAAAACACCTATCACAAAAAAAAAAAAAAAAGTGCTGGTGGAGTGACTCAAGGTGTAAGAGCGCCTGCCTAGCAAGCGTGAGGCCCTGAGTTCAAACCCCAGTGCTGAAAAAAAAAAAGAGAAAAAAAAATATATATGAAGAGAGAGAAAGTTGATAACGCTGGGAGTGGTGGCATGCACCTATACTCCTGGGTACTGGGGAGGCAGAGGCAGGAAGGGGTCTGGGAGTTCAAGGTCAGCCTGAGCAACATAGGAGAACCTGTCTCAAAAAAAAAAGTGAGATATATGTAGATATATAGATACACGTGTGTATATGCATATATGTGTTTGAAAGATCTATAGTACCCCAGAATAAACATAACAATAAATGTACACTAAAAACTTAAATAATGGACGGGAAGATGTCAGTATGACCAAGTTGTCAGGTCTCCCCAGTTAGTTCTGTTCCAGTGGATTCTGGAAACTTGAAAAAGAGGGTTTCCAAACTTTATTTTAATATGAAAAGATTGCTAACACTCCATGATGAAAGGAATGTAAGTAGAAATATGTAAAGGATACATATAGGGAGATGAATGGAGGGCTAATTAATACATTATTGTACACTTCTTGTAATAAAATAATGTGTTATAGAAGAGGTGGAGAAAGACTCAGAAGAATCAGTGGGACAGAATAGAAATTTAGTTTAGGATACAGGCTGCTATTTTTTTTTTGCAATACTGTGTATTGAACCCAGAGCTTCACACATTCACACATACTTGGCAAGTACTCTACCACTTGAGCCATGCCCCCAGTCCTTTTGTTTTGTTTGTATTTTGTTTATGAGCTAGGGTCTTATGATTCCTTTGCTGGGTGGGTCTTGAATTCTCCATCCACCTGCCTCTGCCTCCTGAGTAACTGGAATTACAGGTATGTTCTACCCTTCTCAGCTTTGAGAATAACGTACAAATAACCTTTACATATGGGGAGAGTGAGTTATTTTATTGATCAAAAGTCACAAGAGAAAGATTTGACAAATTAGACTGTGAAATTTTATATCTGTATTCAGTAAAAGAGATGATAAAGAAACTAAAAGGAAGCCAGGAGTCAGTTGCTCAGGCCTGTAATCCTAGCTACTTGGGAGACTGAGACTGGAAGGATCAAAGTTTGAGGCCAGCCCAGGCAAATAGTTCTTAAGACCTTATTTCCAAAATAACCAGAGCAAAATGGACTAGAGGTGTAGCTCAAGCAGTAGAGTACCTGCTTTGCAAGTGCAAACCTCTGAGTTCAAACCCCTGTCCCACCAAAAAAGAAAAAAAAAAAAAAAACTAAAAGAAAATGTTTATAGCATATATGATGGAGTATTGACACATATTTTAATACTTCAAGATAAAAGATACAAACGGGTGATGTACATATGACAAAATATAAATGTTATTATAAGGATTATTATGTTATTATAAGGAAAAGTCATAGAAACGAGATTTTTGCTTATCAGATTGGAAAATATTAGAGTAGTGCTGTTGGGTGCTGACAGGTAGAAGGAAATAGTATTGACTAGAATAGGAATTGGTGGGTCCTTTTTGGAAATGAATTTGTCAACATCCATTAAAATTTAAAGTGCTCATTTCCTTTGATCCAGTACATGATATCTTAAGGAGCTAATAGGACAAGTGTGCAAAGAAAAATATATGGGGACATTTTAGAGCATTGTTGATAAAAGCAGAAAATTGGAAATGATCTAAAATGTCTGTCAGTAGGATACTGGGCCAACAGACCAGTATGGTACCTTACCACAGTAACCATGCAATCCTCAGAAGAGGCTGGGTTGGCCTTTATCAATTTACAGGAGAAGATGATGATATTAACAGGAAAAAGAAAGAGTTTGCACAAAGGTGTGTATAGTTGTTACCATTAATGTAAGTCACATATGGAAAGAGGCCAGACAGAGTGGTGCATACCAATAATCCTAGCTACCTGAATTAGTAGCAGAGATACGAGGATGAAAGTCAGAGGACATCCTGGGCAAAGTTAGTGTGAGGACCTATCTCAAAACCAAAATGAAAACAAGGACTGAGGGGCATAGTTCAAGTAGTAGAGTGCTTGCTCAGCAACCTCAAGGCCCTGGTTCGATCCCTAGTACTATGAAAAAGAGAGAGAGATTCTCCATGGAGATACATTATTCATTATGACGATAGTTGTTTCTAGAGAGTAAAATTACTGGAAAAGTTACCTTTAATTTTCTTTATATCAATTGTGTTTTCTAAAATAAAAGTAATTTAAAAAGAATAAAAATCATGTATAGGTGAGGATAAAAAAAAAATCATACTCCTTATCACAGAGCATGAAGTAAAGCCTCAGAGAGGTGGAATTACTTGTCCAAACTCACACAGCTTATCAGAGACAGAGGTGCTACAAAAGCCCAGATGGTGGATCACAAACCTAGACTCCAGGCCACCTACCAGATCTGAGGCTGCCCCTCTGGAGCCAGGTCTATGTTTAGAAGCAGGACAGATGGATCTGCAGGTGTGCTGGGCCTGACAAGGGCTTTTTCCAGTCTCTTGCTGCCCCCTGCTGGCAGTAGGTCAAACAGCAGGGTCCAGAGCCCAGTTGAGACTGGAGCATTGAGTCCTGGGCCTACCAGGCAGACAAAGGACTGAGTGCCTTCCTCCCCCTCCAGTTCTCTGTGGACATTGACTCTGACTTGGTGGAGGAGTTGCCGGCTGAGATCGAGCTGTGGCTGGTGCTGGTGGCCGTGGCTGCAGGGCTGCTGCTGCTAGGCCTGATCATCCTTTTGCTGTGGAAGGTTAGGACCTCAGCCCGCTGGGGACTCAACTCCAGACTTCCTGCCAGCATGCGCTCACCAACCAACCCTCATCCGTGGCTCCCCAGCCCACTCCTCATTTCCATCTCCAATCTCCTCCCTCCATGACCACCCTACCTTCTCAGCTTCCAGTCGCACCCCTTCCTGGGCAAGGGGGAGCTACAAGCTGGAAAGGGACACCCAGGAGTGCCAGCGTCTGGCCATCCCACCAAGCTGGGCCCTGAACCCAGCCATCCAGGCTCCCTAGATCTAAGCCCCAGTCCCTGAGTGCTGCTGGCCAGGAACCCCTCCCCCCCAGCACCCCTGATGGCCCTCCCCACCTCCTCCCCTCCAGTGCGGTTTCTTCAAGCGAGCCCGCACTCGTGCCCTGTATGAAGCTAAGAGGCAGAAGGCGGAGATGAAGAGCCAGCCGTCAGAGACAGAGAGGCTGACCGACGACTACTGAGTGGGGGGCAGCCCCCCACCCTGGCTCACCCGGGTAACACGGCCTTCAGGCCCCCTCTCTGAGCCTCCCAGCTGGCTGGGGCCTCCGATTCTGTGCTGTCTGCTCCTCTTCCCTTAGGGCTCGCTCTGCCCCCAACTGTTCCTACCACCACCTCAGAGGGCAGGCCACTCTGCCTGCCTTTCCCTCCACATATACCTTTCCTTTCTGGCTCTCAGGGATTTGGAAACTCAGAAGAATGCTATAAGAATCTTCTCTGTAGTCATTCTGCTTTCTGGGAATTGGATAAAGGTTCACAGCCAAGGCTAGACCCCCCTCTCTGTAGTCATGTCCAGAATGAACCTAAGCCCCCAGTCCTCCCCGCCCAGGGGAGTTGGAGACTAGGAGAGTCCATCCGCTGGGAACCCGCACTTTTCCTCCCAACCAACTCACCTGCCCCAGTACTGATCAGGGAGACCACCCACCCTTCTTGGCCACTCCACCAACAGTCTCTGCTGCTGGCCCTGGTCTCCATCTGCCTCTTCCTCTCCTCTCTGCCTTCCTCAGCTCCTCCCTCCTCTGGGCCTGGGGTGGGAAAGCTCATCTTCCCCATTTCACACTGTAACAGCGTGTTTGAGTCAGGGTCCTAGTTCTGAGGACCTTGGTGGGGAGGAGGCCAGACACATCTTCCTCTGCCTGAATGCTGGATGCTGACACACTTTCTCTTCTACCCTAACTCCAGTGTGACTTCTTTAAGCGGACCCGTTACTACCGGATCATGCCCAAGTACCATGCAGTGCGTATCCGGGAGGAGGAGCGCTACCCGCCTCCAGGAAGCACCCTGCCCACCAAGAAGCACTGGGTAACCAGCTGGCAGACTCGGGACCGATACTACTGATGTCCTTCCTGATTCTCCTCCTCCCAATGTGCCCTTCCTTTCTATTTATCATAAGTTATGCCTCTGACAGTCTACATGGGCCCCTGCCTTTGGCTGGCACCAGCAGGCTCAGGCACACACCCCTCTTTAGGTGCAGGCATGTGTTGTCTGACCACGGGCTTCTCCCTCAGGACCTCACAATGCTGACGACGGCACAGCCCTAGACACGTGGGGCCCACTTGTGGCCTGTGCTTGTGCACCATGGAGGATGCATGGATATGCCATGTCCTAGCCTCTGCCTGTGCCAAAATCAAGCCAAAGGACCTCCACCGTAGCTGGGAGGAAAAGGTTCCCATGTGGTGATACCTCCCCTTCCACACTGGATCCACCTTGAGCCATAGTTACTGGACTGAGTTCACTGTCCAGAGGAAAACTACTGACAAGGAGTGACTGACCTGGCTCAGCTGCAGCTCCCTAGCACTCACCAGAAAGCTAGGTCCCACCAAGGTTTATCCAGAGGCACTTGCAGAACCTGTGTGCTCAGACCCAAGAGCAATGAACTAGAAAGCAGGTCCCCAGATGGCTTTTCACGGATCTCTGAAGCCTTTCTTCTTGGCCACAGACTGGACTGGCAGGAACACAGTCCAAAGGAACAAAGAGAAACTGTGGGCAGCCTGAACACACTGTGCTGTGAGACTGACCTGGAGCACCATGGAGTCCTCCAGAGACCAGAGGACCAGTCCTGGCTGGATGCACCACCACCACCACTCCAGCCTCAGTAGGGCCTGGAGAGACCCCACAAGACCATGCAGGGAGCGACGCTTGAATGTAGAGCAGGGAGGGAGCCCCATCCTTGCCCCAGCCAGCCACACCCACTCTGCCCCCACTGACCATGGGTTGGAGCCTAGAGATAGAGTTTTTGTCTGTCTTTGGCTTTTAGAGCAACCTGGCTCTTCCCTCTCCTCTGTGGGTTGTATCCCACAGAGTAATTGAAACTGGTTACCAAGACCTCTCCTGACCCCTGCCACTGGCAGGCCCACTCCCCTCCACGGTACTGTAGCATGGGGGCTTCCCCACCCCCCTTGTGCCTTCTTTATATATGGGCTTCTCACTGCTAACAATAAATAGCTCCCAGTTTGTATGGCTGTATCTGCCTCTATCTAGCTCCCAGCTGACCCTGGGTGGACAAAGCCAGGTGCTGGAGTTTTGGGAACTTGAGGGTGAAGTCCACTGTCTAAAGACTGGTCATAACCACATGAATGAGATCCAGAAAACCCAGATGAGAAAAGAGACCTGAGTGAACTGAGAGGAATTCAGTGTGCTGGCCTGGGGAGGCAGAAGGTGGGTGTGGTGTGAGCAGGGGTATCGGGAAGAGATGGAAGCTATTCTGCAGTGGAACAGGTAGTACTGGCTGGAGGTTGGGTGCAAGGGTAGAGAGCCAGAGCCCTTAGCCAGGGGCTGTGTTCAGGTAAGAGCTTACTTTCCTGACTGTTTCCCCACCACCACCCCCGGGCACCCTGAGGAAGAGATAAGAAGGTGAATCAGTGAGCCAAGGCTACAGACTTACAAGGCTAGGGCCCATCCCCAAGCCTCAAGACGGGAGTCCCTGGAGCTCTAGTCTTTTGGAAAGCAGTCCAGGAGTGAGCTTAGGTAACTGCATATTGGGATGATGCACCTTGCATTTCTCAGGGTTCCTAGAGCAGCAACCCAACTCCGTTAAGGCCTGGGGAGTGGAGTAGGCTGCCCCATTCTCTTAGTTTCCTTTCCCTAAATTGTAATCAGGTCCTCCTGTTCGTTCCCCCCAAAGCTGCCCAGAGAAGCTAAAGGCGAATCCCAGATCCATCCCTCAGACCCCACAGACCTAAGCCTTTCTGGGAGTTCCTCCCCATTGCTCTTGGCATTGTGGCAGCTGTTTGCCCTCCACACCCTCCAGCAGCAACATGGCATTGTCTTGGGCCTGGTGGCTACCCTCTCCCTGCATCTTGCCCACTCATTTCCTGTGTTGGGATTTGGCCCTTCCCAGGATGACTAATGGAATGTTGAATTCCCCCAGGAAAACCCCAACCCTTACGCAGAGCTGCCAAGTTCTCAGAACCTAGTGATCAGAAACCTTACTGTGTTTTCCAGAAGGTGAGATTCACTTGTTTGGAAATAACATCCCATGTAAGTTGTCAAAGCCCAGCCCCCAGGCGTGCCACGTGCGCACATGCACACACGCACCCCAACTGAGAATGTCATTTGCAGGACTAGCACTCTGAAAGAAACCTAAGTGGCAGAGATGAAGCGAGGCCCACTACAACAGCACCCTCTACAAGCCACACTTCTTGGGCTCAGAGCTACAGCATCTGCAAACTCCTTTTCAGAAAGGGTCTTGGCTCTTGTATCACTGCAGGAACTGCCAAGTTGATTCTTCCTCTTCTGGCACCTGGTGGGATTGTACTTCCTGGGCCCTCCCAGTTGGAGGAGGCCATGTGACTAATTCTGGCCAATGAGATTGAGCAGGGGGAAAGTGGCTCACTTGTGGGTTGAAGCATTTCATTGCAGGTGTGAAACCCTTCAGTTTCAGCACTTCTGTTGCTGTGGAAGCCTGTGTTGAGAAATAACTGTTGTCAGCCTGAGTGCCTGAATGTCCCCACCCCCACCCTACATTGTACATATAGTGAGGCATTTTGGGATTGGGGTTTTTGTTAGCTCAGCAACACCTAACCTAGTGGGACTGCTGCACCACTCCACACCAGCTGTTGCACTCTGTAGCCAGCTCTGCACAAGGAACTTTGATGCAAGCACAGAGTCTGCTTCATGGAAGCCCAGCTGCAAGGTGAGGGTCATGGAAGAGTTTTTTCCCTCTCCTGCACCCAGCCTCAGAGTCATGACCTTTTCCTTGTTGCTTCAGTTTTGACAGTAACAGTAATAGCTGCCATTTATTGGTAGGCACAGGCTTGAATTTTTGTATAGAGTATCCCAAACACGCTGCCTGGCATTTGAAAACTGCACTCACCAGTGTCACTGATCACCTCCCAGTTGCTTCCCCAGCAGATGGTCCGGAGCGTGTCTCTCTGCTGACCTCTCTTCATTTTTCACCCTCTCCTCCCTACTATTTGCCAGGCACTATGTCCAGTGCAGTGAATAGGACATACACAATCTGTGCCCTTCCGGAGCTAAAGTCCAGTGGGAAAGACAGATGAGTCAGTAAGTAAACACCACTCTGTGATAAGCGTTCATACCTTGCTAAGGTTAGGAGCTAAGGAGTGAAGGGAGCCCAACATCCAACTAGGTAGGACCAGGGAAGGTTTTCTGGAGGAAGGGATGACTAAGCAGCTGGACAATTGCAAACACTCCAGTAAGAAGTGGAAAGCCTCCTGGTGCTGGTGGCTCATGCCTGTAATCCTAGGCAGAGGATCAAGACCAGCTCAGGCAAACAGTTCTGAAGACCCTATCTTGAAAATACCCAACATGAAACAGGGCTGGTGGAGTGGCTCAAGTGTAGACAGCCTGCCTAGCAAAGCATAAGGACCTGAGTTCAAACCCCAGTATTGCTAAAAGAAAAAAGGAAAGAAGTGGAGAGCCATTAAAAGGCTAGTAAGCAGAAAATAAGGTCAGATTTATAGTCGAGGATGATCCTCAAGTCCGTTTTCCTTTCTATAAAATGGGGATGATAATAGGACAATAGAGCTGTCTTAAGAATTTAATGAGACAATGCACAAAGACAGTGCCTGGCACACGGATCATTTTCTTTCCACTGTGAAGCCTCTCTGTGTTGGCTACAATTGCATTCTGTTATAATTCATTATTTACTTATGCAACTGTCTCCCAAACTGAGAAATGAAATGGTTAAGGGAAAAAAGCGAAGTCTTGATCCTGTCTGTGTTTCCTGATCTCAGCACAAAGCCTAGCACACACTAGGCGCTGGGTTAAGTGTGGGCCAAGACCTGGCTCCTCAAAAATTTAAGAGGAGTCAGGCCCTAGGCCCGGGATGAGCCATACCACATTCTACCACAAGAGGGCGCGCGACGTTTCCCACTAAAGAGGCGGAGCTACTGAAAGGGCGGGCTACTGGGTCCCCAGAACTCGTCACCTCCTGGTACCTTATTCTAAGCAAGCACAATACAGACAAGGTTGCTTTTCGGATGATCGCGCAAGATGCTCAAGGTTTTATTTTCAGTCAAATGAGCTAGGTAATAATAAAATCAAAGTGTTTCGAAAACCAGCACCGATAGTCGCGAGGGTTTTGACGCTGGGTGTTTTTGTCGTTTTTCTGGTTGCTGGGGATCAATTCAGGCAAGAGCTCTACCAACTGAGCTACATCCCCAGCCCAACTCTGAATGTTTTTCATAAGGAAAAGCAAAACGCCACATTTTCTTGAACCACTTGGATATTTATGGAAGCCAGTGGGCTGCATGTACTATAGGACAGATTCGTAAGAGAGAGCAGGTAGGGATGAGGACAGCGGAAACAGGTACCTTTAAGGAGGAAAGGGATTCGTTGAAAGCTACCTGGACAAGTCAGGGAAGGAGTCAGCAAGTGAAAGAGGCAAGGGGGAGAGGAAGGAGAGGCAGGGCTGGAAGAGGAAGGGGGGCTGGCGGGCCTCTGGGGTTAACTGGGGGCTCGCCCCAAGGAGGCTGGGGCGGGGAGTGAGCGGGCGTGGGATGGACGTCCGCGCGGCCTGGGAAAACAACTAACGGTCCCCAGCACAGACAGGGTTAAGGGGGCGGGCCCAGAGGGAAGCCACGTGCCGGGGCGCAAGGCTATTGGTTCTCCCGGAGTTGTTTGTGCGCGGCCATTGGCGGCGTTGGGGCGCCGCGACAAGCCGATTGGCCAGGCTTTGGAGACGCCGCCAGGACAGGGGTGGGAGGGAGGAGATGGCCGAACCGCTTCGCTGGGCCGGGCTGGGCCGAGCCGAACGCTAACGCGACCCGCGCGGGGACCGCTGCCAAAGCGGAGCCGAGCTGAGCCCGAGCCGCGGTCGCCGCTGCCGCCATGCGCTGGGTCCGGGCGCTGCTGAAGAATGCGTCCCTGGCTGGGGCGCCCAAGTACATCGAGCACTTCAGCAAGTTCTCCCCGTCCCCGCTGTCCATGAAGCAGTTTCTGGACTTCGGTATGGAGCGGACGGGAGCCGGGGGGCCGCGAGATCGCGGGAGTTGGGGCGCGGAGGAAGGGGTCCTGGCGAGGAGGAAGGAGTTAACGCCAAGGAGAGGAGAGGCCCTGAGTGGCGCGGGAGCCTCTCTTGGAAGAGTACAGGGAGGAAGGGGTTAACGACAAAGGCTGGCCTGGCCCAGAAACAGTTAAGGGTGCCCCGGCAGAAGAGACTGTACCCAGGGCTGGCAATGGAAATGGGGGCCGCTGAGAAGGAGGAGCCCAGTGTTTCCTCCCGGGCCTCGAAAAGGGGTCTTGAAGAGTAAGGGGCAGGGAGGCCAGGATGGCAGGCAGGGTCCCATCCAGGCACTCTATGCCTATGTAGGTTGTCCTGGCCTTCAGACTAGGGGACAGAGATGAAATAGGGGTATGCCAGTGGAAGTGACAAAGCAGGGTTAGGAGGTGTAGCCATGTGGAACGAGACCGGATAAGCATGAAGGGTCAATACACCTGAGCTGAGCAGGAGAGAAATCCGAGGGCAGCCAGAGAGGGGGAAGGGAGGGCTTTCAGAAGGAGACACTAATAGGAGGCACCCCCCCTGACTAGTGCACCGCCACCCTCTGGAGCTGCCCCAGTGGGCAAGGACACTTGAAGATCAAATCCCTTCCAGCCTGGCAGCCTGTCCCAAGCTGGGCAGAGGCCCAAGTCACCATGAGGCACCCTCCTTGGCTGCCCCTGGGTTCCTAAGTGGGGATGGCCCACTACCAGCGTTCTGGGGGTGGTTCTGGGGCAGGAGGAAGGTCATGCCAACGTGGCAGCTGATACAGACGTCGTGTGGGCCCTGTCTGTCTACAAGGCCTTTCCAGTGGTGCCAGCTGGGCATTGGGAGTGGGCCCAGGTCTCTCTAGAGTTGGGCAGATAGTGCTGGCTTGGGTTACAGCTGTGTCACTGATAAGAGATGGCAGGGTACCTGTTCCCCAGAGTGTGTCTTCCTGCCTTCCCCTTTCAGTATTGAGCTTTGCCCATGTAGGAAAGCCCCCTAGTACCCAGAAGTTCCCCAGCCCATACTGGACCCCAGTTACAGAACTGTCATAGCTACTAGGGGACTGATCACAAAGTTTGGGCCACTTGTACCATGGGGGAAACTGAGACTTGCAAAAGCATGGTGACATGCCCTGGGTAACAGAGTTAGAAACAGAGCCTGGGCCAGAACCCAGGACTTCATCCTGTCTCCAAGCTGCGATTTTCATCATTCCCCAAACCCCTTTTCATCACCACAGGTGGCCTGGACCAGGCACAGTACTTGAGTTCTGCAACCATGGAAGTCTAGGTCTAGTTCCCCTCAACAGAGATGCAGTCTGGGGAAGGAGGGATTTCACAGGCGCCTCTGTCCCCTTGGTGAGCTCCCCAGAGTGAGTGCCTGGAGATGTGTGGAAGGAAAGAGAAGTGAGGTGTCTTAGGCCAGACCAGCTCCAAATGAGTCCGACCTTAAGGCATGTGGGGGTTCAGCTGCAGGGGATGCGACCCCTGAAGTGTTCAGCACTGCAGGTTTAGGAGAGCTACCTTGCCATGTGCCCAGCAGATCACATGCTCCTTGAGCCCTTGGTCAGTGTGGAGTAGGTCAGGATGTCCTTTGGCTCCCATGATTTGCAGCCATGAGTTCACCCCTCTCTCTCCTACCAGGGTCCAGCAATGCGTGTGAGAAAACCTCATTCACCTTCCTCCGTCAGGAGCTGCCAGTGCGCCTGGCCAACATCATGAAAGAGATCAACCTGCTTCCCGACCGGGTGCTGGGCACACCCTCAGTGCAGCTGGTACAGAGCTGGTGAGCTCCCACCTCATTACCAGTGTCCCCAGGATTGGGTTAGAGGGTAGGCGCAGAGGCTTACATGGGAATCCCAGGTCCGAGCAGGGATGAAAGTCAAGCTGCCAGCCTCTCTGTCTGTGGGATTGCACTATCCTCACCACCCTCCTTTCTCAGGGAACCCAGGGTCAGCCCAGAAAATAATAGCTTTCACAGCCACAGCCATGTTAAGCTAATGTCAGCACTAGCCACTGGCCTGGATTGGAACCCCAGCTCATTAGGTAGTCTTTGCTCAGGGTCACTTCTGGGGACACAGAGAAACAAGAAGAAGCAAATCTTGGAACAAATTATATCATCCGAGCTACATTTCTGACTGTTTTGGATGTTGAAAACACTCAAGGTGACCCAGAAATGGCATTTCCTTCCCAAAGAACTTTAGAGGGCAAAGATTGGAAGATTATTACAGGTAGCCACAGGGGCAGAGGGAAATCTGCTCACACAGAGCTCTGTTCAGGGCTAAGTAACTGGATACCGCCAGCCAATGGCCTGTCACATGAAGCATAAACAAGGGTGTACCCTGTACACTGGACATGTCACTGGCTGCCCATCAGTGGGCTTTCGTGGTGCTTTTGTGAAAATATCATCTTCAGGATGTGCAGCATGGAGTGGTTCAGGTGTCCTTTGGACCCAGGAGCTCGGGTCACATCTCTCAGTCCAGGACTGAGCTGCATCTAAGAGAACAGCAGCAGGTGCCCGAAGGGAGCCCATGTGATCCCAATCTTGCAGGAAAATAAAATTCCTGCCAAGACAGGGCAAACAAAGTACAGTGCAGATGGTAGGAGGAGCAGTGAGCGCTAAAGAGTTAGTTTGATTCAAATGAAGAGGCAAAATATTATTTAAAAGTAACATTGAGAGCCAGGTGCCTGTGACTCACAGCTATAATCCTAGCTACTTGGAAGGCTGAGATCTGGAAGATCCAGGTTCAAGGCCAGTTTGGGCAAATAATTCCTGAGACTCCATCTCCAAAACAACCAGAGCAAAATGGATTGGAGCTGTGGCTCAAGCAGTAGAGCTCTCTGAGTTTGAACTCAGAGTCCTGAGTTCAAATTCTAGTCCCACCAAAAAAAAAAAAAGTAACATTGTTACTTTTAGAATTATAACATGTTCATTTTGATACTACCTAAAAAATGTAGATAGCAGAAAAATGCCAACCATTGCCCTCCTCCTTGTGACCAAACAGGCATAGTGACTGTTGGTTGAACAAGAAGTTGTATGAGCTGGGCATAGTGGTATACGCCTGTAGTCCTAGCACTTGGGAGATGGAGGCAAGGAGGATGGCAAGTTCAGGCCAACCTGGGCTACATAGTGAGACCCTCTCTGAAAAAGAAAAGAAAAGAAAAGAAAAAAATAAATACATCAATCAATCAATCAATAAAAAGAGGTTGTGGGGACATTGAAATGAACACACAGGGACCAAGGCCACCCAGAGCTGGAAGGAAGTGAAGGTGACAGAGGGAGAGTCTGATTTTCATGAAGCCCAACCATATCACTCCTTGCTGTGCCCTGCACCTCCAAGGCAGGCCCAAGACCTTTGAGCCAACCTACATGGTGGAGTGCGGGGAAGAGACAGAAGGTGCCATCTGTTCTCCCTAGCACTTCTCTGCTCCATCCAGCTGCCTGACCTGGCTGCTTGTCCAGTTGGTCCCTGACTCCAGAAAGGGCTTCTCAGGCCACTCTCTGGACACCATGTTCCTGGGACAGCCAGGGATGCAGGAAGAAGGTAGGGGATTGCTGGGTGGCGCATGACTCTCCCTGGAGCCAGGGAGTCCCTGCAGAGTCCCTTCCTGAAAATCATTGACATATGGAGCCCTGGCCTGCCTCATTCTTTCCTCAAAGCCTGGAAGTACTGTCAGGTAACAGCAGGAGGACGGAAGTTAGACAAGGGGAACCATGTCCTCAGTGATGATTCAGTGTAGAGGAGGGATTGCTAAGGCATGCCGACACACACAAGAGATGGCCCATGAGAGTGCTTCCAGAGCCAGTGGGTGGCAGCAAGAGACTGAGATGTGAGGGCAGGAAGAACTTCCTGAGGGGCATGAGGTGGTTGCCTATAACAGAGTATAGATCTCTGTCTCCAGGAGAAATCTTCAGCCAGAGGATGGAGGTCATGGAGATGGGAAGGGTCTGCATAAGAAGAGAAGAGGGTGAACACCCCCCACCCAGGAAGCCTGAAAAGAGGGCCAGTAGCCTGAGTCTGATGAGTAAGGAGCCAAATGTCCCCTTTGGAAAACAGAATAGTGCCGTGCAATGCAGTTTTTGGCAGTATAGCAGTTAATATGTGGGCATAGGTAATGGAGCTTGCCCTTAGCTAAAGGGAGCTTCTGAGCAGTCATGGCAAGGGAATAATAAACTTGATAAATCAACTGGACAGGCTTGGGAAATGGGACTGGAGTTTGGAGGTGACTAGAAGGCAGGGCAAAGCCCTAGGCTTTGCATCAGCATGCTTGACCTGAGTCTTACTGGGCACTTACTCCCTGCCAAACAGTTTCGCATCTCTGAGCCTCAGCTTCCTCATCTGTAAAATGGGGACCCATACTGCTTCTTGGGGTCAGATGCCATTGCTAGGTGTGGAAAATGCAGAACTCTATCAATAGCAGCTTCAGGGCAACAGTACCTCTAGATCAAAAGCAATGTGCTTGTGGTGGAGGTTTCGGAGATGTGGCAATGAGCCATGAGGATGACAAAAGCAAATACAGCTGAGGACTTGCAGAGGTCCGGGGGTACTCTGTGCACTTGCACTTTCGTGGGTACCTATGTAGTCCTCACCACAATCCTCACAAAATGGATTTCAAGAGTCATCTCCACTTCCTGGATGAGAAATGGGTTCAGGGAAGTGGAGAAATTTGGCTGAGGTCACTTAGGGAGTAGTACTGGAGCTGGGATTCAAACCCAGGCTGTGAAATCTGGAGGATGCATCTGGAATGGATAGGAGGAAGGCTGTGCTGTGGGCAGCTATGAGGCTTCGAAGATTTCTATGCTCACGTGCAAGTCCATGGGAAAGTAGGGATAAGGATCACATGTAGAAGTGGCTTGCCAGCTGGTGTTGCTGGGAACCCTTGTCTCCTTTCTCTCAGGGGAAGAAGACAGCCTGAAAATGCTTCAAGAAAATGCAGGGTTAAGTAAGAGTTACAGAGCAAATCAAATGACAGTGAGTCACTCCTGTCACTAATAGAGTCTTTGTGACACTGTAGGGAAGGGGCCAGATGACATTGTGTGTATGTGTGGGGGGGGTTAATAATGGCCATCAACATCCCACCCAACCTACCTCCGCCTGTCAGCAAGGTGTGGACCTCAAACCTTGCCTGTGGAGAACCCCACTCCCTCCCCGAGGGAGCCAGTTAGCCCTTACACTGAGCAGAATAACAAACAGAAGGACTGGCCACTCCTGCCAGGCTCTGGTTCTTGCCAGACATCGGCTAGAGCCTCAGCTACACCAACTCTTTGCCTCCTCCAGTCCCTTGGACAGAGTGACACTGGTCACACCAGTGGTCCTAAGCATGTACTTCCTGTGCCTCCTTTTGTCTCTTCCCTGCCCCACAGAGTGCTTCCTGCTGTGAGCCCCAATTTACCCTTTGGACTCAGCAGCCTAGTAGCCTTTAGGGCACAACCAGCCCTGAAACCCAAGCCTGCCCCCCATCCATAGATCAGCTCCAGGTTCAGGACAGTCTGCCCTCTCCCTTGGTATATAGGTAGCCAACCTCCAGGTGGCCATGGCCTGGTTCACATCCTTGTTCCCCCTGCAGCTGTGGGTACTGGAGCACACTCTTCACATTCAGACTTACACATACTCCCTCTGCTGAGCATCTTCCTCCTGCTCCCACACACTGCCTGTAGGTACCATGCTCCTCCTCCCTCCCTTCTCCCCTTTTCTTCTTCTTTCCCTTCCTCCTCCCTACCTGCTACCTGCCCCTCTCTTTCAGCCTGCATTCCACCTTCTGGAGGCGGGTCTTGGGGCTTCCAAATTGTGTTGTGCAGTTGGAAGCTCCAGATCTCACTAAGGAGGGCAATGCTCAGACTCCAGGCCTTCCTAAGGCTTTGGCTGAGGCAGTCCCTACTGCTGCTCTGCCTGGACATGTCCTCTGCTTTCAGACCCAGCTCATTCCCGGCCCTGGGAGGATGTCTGTCTCTGGAAGACTCAGGTGTGTCCCCTGTCTTTCTGGAGGACCCAGGTCTGGCCTGAGGGTAACGTGGAGTTGCCAAGCCCTTGGGGATCTCAGGGCAAGGCCAAGGGCCCTATGGGAAAATTCTTCTTTTGCTCTCCTCTGCCCTATGAATATACCCACGGCCACCCTCCTGTAGGAATGGCCCTGTGAGGGAGTGGGCAGGCAGGGATATGATACCCTGTCTCCCCATACCTGAGCTGGCAGCACTGCCCTTCTCCATCGTGGTGCCCTTTGCTCCTCAGTGGCCACATGACCAGGCCCCATTGCTGCCCTTTAGGGTTCACTGGGCACCCCTGCCTTGGGCCATGGGACTCTGACCCTGCTCACTTCCCCCTGATGCCCATGCACAGTCAGGGAGAGGCCCAGCCTCCTGGCTCTGACCCCTCTATCCTCACCCACCCTTGGTCTTGAGAAGGGATCCAGCTACCCAGCATTCATTCACACTGGCAGCTTCTCTCCCAAGTCCCCTGTCCTTGTAAGAATCAAATGAGCATTGAAACTTAACCTAGATATGCTTAGGGGGACAGACCACAGAGCTGAGAGAGAACCCCAGCTCTATGCTGACTTCCTCATCTGTGAAATGGGCCTTTCAGTAGTGCCACCTCACAAGGTGACTGGAGGTTACGGTGGGGGACAAGTAAGCACAGAGCAGAGCCCAGAAGGTGCTGCCTATCACCAGCCATGGCAGCAGCATTATTTGGACCAGTGGAGACAGTGAGCATTTGGCTACATTGGTGTATGCCTGGTTTGGATCCCAGCCGACTCTCACTGTGGCTGGCGGCATGTTACCCACCCTTTCTGCGCAGGAACACTAGAAATCTGTGAATATTGGTTACACCCCTTCCCAAAGATGGTCATGCTGCAGGTCTCAAGCTAATGTGACTGAAATGGGCTGGTTCCTGCCTTTCTTACCTGTTGCAGGTTACTGCAAAGGTCAACGCACTGTGTATGTGGGAATAGTCCTTTTGTGGTAGGGCATTTTCTAGTGATACTACTGGACCCCAAGGACCTTCCCTGCCACTGGGCCCACGGCAAGCCCTCCTGCCCCTAGGTGGGAAGTATTTCTGCCAGAGAGAGGCTACCTGCTTTCCCAGAAAAGCAAGCTACAGACTTGGTATGTCAGCAGGGAAACTAGGATCTATAGCTTAAGGACAGAGAGGGACAGTGGGTCCAGGTTGGCACCATGGGCTAGCACAAGTAGACCTGACTTGTGTGCAGCTCTTTCCTAAATGCTGAGAAGACTAGCCTCTAACCAGGCCCGCACAGAGCACCAGGCCTAGAGCAGGCAGCAGGGACACCCACACCTGCTTGGCCCTAGAGAGCAGAGTGAGCCTCTCTAGGCTCTTGGAGGGCCCCAGCTCTACCCATCGAAGGACAGAGCTGGCCATGCCCACCCTCCATTTTAGAATCCAGTTCCCTAGGCAGGTCCTAAGCCTAGAACACCCCAGCACTGATGTCCCCTTTGGAGGGGGCCTTGCCCAGCTGCAGCTAAGGCCAGTTTCTCTCCTGCCCCATGCTCACAGGTACGTCCAAAGTCTGCTGGACATCATGGAATTCCTGGACAAGGACCCTGAGGACCAACGTACACTGAACCAGTGAGTGAGCGCCCTGATGGTGGGGAGGGGCAGATGGGGACCTCTAGGTTCATAGCCCTAGGGGCAAAATGCCACAGGGTGGAAGAAAAGACACCTGCCTTCTGGGATGCCCAGTCTGAGGGGGTAGATTGACTGCTTCAGAGGTCCCAAGTCTTATGGAGGGACAGAGACTCCATTCTCGGTATGTGAGTGGATGTGAGAGGCCAGGCCCTGCTCGCAGGCAGCGCCCTTCCCTTCAGCTCCAGGCTGTGGGCAGGTGTCTGGGAGGGGTGGGGGGCACCGTGTCCCCATAGGGCTGGAAAGGGTAGAGTGAGTGAAGATACTGGAGAAGAGGTCAGAAGTGAAGGGGAGAGTCAGGGATGTCCTGAGGACGGTGACTGGGTGGGGGCGAATGTCTGCCCTCCCTGCAGGTTCACCGAGGCCCTGGTCACCATCCGGAACCGGCACAATGATGTGGTGCCCACCATGGCACAGGGTGTGCTGGAGTACAAGGACACCTACGGTGATGACCCTGTCTCTAACCAGAACATTCAGTACTTCCTGGACCGCTTCTACCTCAGTCGCATCTCTATCCGCATGCTTATCAACCAGCACAGTGAGCCCAAGGGCTGCCAGGGAGGGTGCTGCTGGGCCTTGGGCAAGGACCACTGGGAAAGGACAATGCCCACTGGGCAGGGCAGCAAGGAGGTTTCAGCCACTGTGCTCAGGGGCCTTAGCACCATTCGGGAGCTAAGAAACACTGAGTCCAAAAAGAAAGGGGCAACATTGAAATGTTTTGTTTTAAATGTCAGCAAAATGTAAAATAATGTCACATATTCTAAAACTTTTTAGTTTAGTGGTTTGTTTTTTTTTTTTTAAAAAAAAGAACAAAAACCTCTCATTATATTCAAAAACAGTTTGTTGCCTAGAATTCCTTTTGCCAGGGGATTTTCTATGATTGTTGACAAATTGTAGGTGTCATAAATTAAATGAGTTCCTTATACTCAAATCATTTCAAAAGCAAGATGGTGAAAGTTCTCTTACAATGTTGTACAAAAGCAAAGAATACATGTAGTGTGGGGTGTGGCATGGGAAAAACCCTCTGGAGAGAAGAATGCTCTGGTCTGCAGAGGCTGTAATGGCTGGAGCCAATGGGGCAGGGCAAGATGGTGTGCTTTATTTAGTATTGGAGCCCAGAGACACTTGCTGATGGAGGGCAGGACACCCTGGGAAGAGGGAGTCAGGTGGGCTCTGTGGCCCAGCCAGCAGCACCCTTCCTTCCACCCATAGCCCTCATCTTTGACGGCAGTACCAACCCAGCCCACCCCAAACACATTGGCAGCATTGACCCCAACTGCAACGTGTCTGATGTGGTGAAAGGTAAGCCCCCTTGCCAGGGCCTGACCCAGAGAGGAGGGAGCCCCAGGGACCCCTCCAAGCTTGCCTGGCCATAGGGCAACCCATTCCCCAGTGGGTGGGAGGATACACCCCCATGGTTTTAATGTTGGTGACAGCTGATGTCAGTGCCAAGGGGACTGCCTACTGTATGAGTCAGACATGCCCTGAATGGCCCCATCCTCTCTCAGATGCCTACGACATGGCCAAGCTCCTGTGTGACAAGTATTACATGGCCTCACCTGAGCTGGAGATACAGGAGGTCAACGGTGAGGAAGTGAGGCTGTGTGTATGTCTGTCTGTCTGCCATAGACAGGGCTGGGGAGAGCAAATAGGATGGAGGTCACGACGTGGACTGCCTTCTATAGAGAGAGAAGCAGAATACTATACATTCTTACTAACTCATTTGATAACTACCTATTACATATTAGCTAAATGTGTGTTGTAAACAAGACAGGCAAAGTCTTGGTGCTGGGGAGATTGGGGAATGGAACCTTTAACTAATGAAAAAATAAGTACAATAATTTCAAATCAAGGTTAAGTGACAGGAAGGAAATAAAATGGAGTAACAGGACAGAGACCAGGAGGAGCGATGTATGAGGTGGGTTGTCAGTTTGGCTGTGTCCCCAGAACACAAATACCAGTAGCTTCATTAATAGAGGTTTCCTATTGGCCAGCCCCCATGTGGGGGTGGTCAGAGCTGGCATCCCACCCCCAGGCCGTGGATGCAGCTGGAGGGAAGTCGGCCAGGGACTGAAGGGGTGGCTTCCACAGGTCACTGACTGCCCTAGCTCCAGGGAGGCTGGGGGTTTAGTCTCTAGCTTGGCAGCCATGTGCCCAGTTACAGCTGTGGGGAGGGGTATCCATTCCTAATAAAAGAAGGGAAGAAGGATTTCAGGGTCCTACTCTGGATAAGGTCATGGAAGGTGACTTGTCAACAATTCCTAATCTTGGTCTTGACTCCCACAGCTGCCAATTCCACCCAGTCCATTCACATGGTCTACGTCCCCTCCCACCTCTACCACATGCTCTTCGAACTCTTCAAGGTGAGGTGACCAGGATGGCCCTTCACAGGGGCACCATTAGGGCTGGCCTCTCACTCAGCTCGTACCTCATTCACTCCCCAGAATGCCATGCGGGCCACGGTGGAAAGCCACGAGTCCAGCCTCACTCTCCCCCCTATCAAGATTATGGTGGCCTTGGGCGAGGAAGACCTGTCCATCAAAGTATGTGACTCTTGGCCTTGTGGGTGGGAAAGACCATGGGAAAGTCAGGAGAGTCAGGGGGTGGTTAGAGAACTAAGTCCCTGACAGGTCCCATCTCCCCCAGATGAGTGACCGAGGTGGGGGTGTACCTTTGAGGAAGATTGAGCGACTCTTCAGCTACATGTACTCCACAGCTCCCACCCCACAGCCTGGCACTGGGGGTACCCCGCTGGTGAGACCTTCATCCAGTCCCTTCCCACCTGTTTTCTTACCCCCAAGCATACTGTGTGACTGTGTGGTGACAGTCTTCTGTGCTGCCTGAGTCTGGACCTCCTGTCCTCATCTCTCCTCTCTACCTGTGCATGTCCCACTTCCTGCCAAGCATCTATCTGTCTGCCTGGTTGTCACATTTCCTAGTCCTCCTTCTCCCATGTGGCCCTGCAGTTCCTGCCTTTCTTGCTGTGCTATTTAGTTGCCAACACCTCCCTGTCCATTTGCCCAATGGGGTAGGCAGGGCTGGGCTTGGAGTCTTGAGACTCAGAGTTGCTGGTGACTACCCAAGCCTCCTGGTTATCTAAGCAGAACTTCTCGCCCTTCCACCATGATTTCTTCAACCACTTCTCACTTCTCCCTGCCCTCAAGGATGTCCCCATCTCACCCCAGCTCCAGGAACTCCCTGCAAGCCCACCCAGCACCCTTCACTCGCCTTGTCAATCCTGCAGCTCCAGCCTATAGTCACCCTGCCTTCCCGCCCCTTGTAGGCTGGCTTTGGGTATGGGCTCCCCATTTCCCGCCTCTACGCCAAGTACTTCCAGGGGGACCTGCAGCTCTTCTCCATGGAAGGCTTTGGAACAGACGCTGTCATCTATCTCAAGGTGAGTGCCCCTGCCCGCAGAACCCCATGGAAGCAGGCTTTGCTGCGGTAGACTCTAGTCCATCTGTCCATCCGCTCTTGGTACTAGCCTCAGAGCAGTGCTACAGCTCATCACTGCTGTAAGCCAGTCCTGACATGTGCAGCATGCCACGGAATTGCAGGCAGTATGTGGTCCGGGTTTGACACCCCTCCTCTGGGACCTTTAACCTGTCAGTCCTGGAAGGGGGACCACAGAGGTCTTGTCATTCAGCTGAGAGGGTAGGACAGAGGACCTGACTTGCTGACACAGCCCAGCCTACTCCCTGACCTTTTGAGGGAGCAGCTTTCTAGAATGGGAACGGAGCAGGACAGAAGGGTCAGACCCTTTTTTAGGCCTTTCTGAAACCAGGATATTGACTCAGCCAGCATCTAGTGGCTGGGCTGACTCTGACTTGGGGTAGAACTCAAGGGTGGAAACCAGCATAGCCCACCTGGGAAAGGCTGGTCTGCTGAGGAGTGGGCAAGGCACAGGAAGTGGCAAGGCTGACCATGGCATTCCCCAGGCCCTGTCCACGGACTCAGTAGAGCGATTGCCTGTCTACAACAAGTCTGCCTGGCGCCACTACCAGACCATCCAGGAGGCTGGTGACTGGTGTGTGCCCAGCACGGAGCCCAAGAACACGTCCACATACCGGATCAGCTAGGGGCCACCTCTTCCTCATGCCCAAGAGGATGACTGCTGTCTGTGGGTCTGGCCACCAAGGTGACCCTCCCCATCCCCCAGGGAGTAGGGGCAGGGGTGGTTCTGCCTGATGACTAGCCTTGTCTGTATGGAAATCACCATGGTGACCAGTCTGTGGTGGTCCCTAAGTGCCAGTCTGTCTCTGTGAAGATATCTAGATGGTCTCCCTAGGACCGTCTCTGTGGTGATGCCTGGGTGCTGGGATCACTCCACCATGGGGTGCCCCAAAGACACTTCCCTATGGCAGTCTTCTCAGACCAGCACCGTCACTTTTCTGCCAGGAGTCCTGGGTCCCCCTCACTGCCCACACAGCCCTGGCCTTCCACGTGGTTGTCCTGCTTGCCTTATGCTCCCACCCCTACAGGCACACTGGCCTTGATCCTGTGTCAGTGTTAGGAAGAGCTGGGTGCCCTCAGATCTGGGAAGTGCGTGAGGAAGAGGTGCCTCCACTCTGGGCATTAAGGTTGGCAGAGGTGGTTCTCACCCAAGGCCCACCTCTAAAGTGGAGGAACCTGGGAAGACTCTCAAGGACCTTCAGGTGACTCTGGCAATGTTTGTGCCATTTCCTAAGCCTTTCTCAGCATGTCCTCACAAGCACACCTGCCCTTGGACACCCACTTGGTTCTGCCTGAGCTATAGACCCCAACCCCACTGTGCCCGATTTGTGTGTGGGGGTGGCTTTCTCCTTAGAATGCTCTGTACATAGCCAGTTTTATAATCCTGAATGCCCACCCTCCCCCTTTGGCACACAGGGGGTTACTGTTGTGTGCTCCTCTCAGCAGCTCTGATGGTGACAGTGACATCCACAGTAAAGAGGAGATGGAGTGAGACTGCTGGCTGTATTGCTGGGGGAGGGGATCTACACACACAAATGCAGTACCCTGTGAGCAGCACTCGCTGGGCTCAGGACGTCCACACTGCTCAGAACATCGTCGACACTGCTCAGGACCTGATTGAGTGTACCATCAGGCTAGGCTATCTTCTCTGAACGCCTGGCAGCCAGGCACCCAGTGACTGGCCTATGCCCCACTGCACTCAGAAGACAGCTTAATCCCCAGTTCCTGTCCAACCCCCAAACAGGGCAGACAGAAAGGTCACTGGCAAATGTTTATTGAAAGAAACTGAGAACCACCTCCCCCCTCACATGCAGGTGGGCACCCACTTAACTCCTGACGGCCAGTGCCCCCACATCTCAGTTTCCCTTGGAAGCCCCTCTCCCAGTACAGATGGCAGAGGGAGGATCCTGGCCTCAAGCCTCAGTGCTGGGCAGGAATGTGGGGGTCAGCATGCATTGTTCTGTCCACCACACCAAGCACTGGGAAGGGGTGGAGGGTTCATCAAAGCCTGTGAACCCACTGATAAGTCTGGCAAGTGCCTCAGAAGCTAGGCCAGCTGCTGGCCTCTCTGGTACCTGGACTCAGTGTCTGGACATTTGCTAAAAAGGACTGATGTCATCCCAAGCTGCTAGTAGATTCCATCCCACCCAGGGCTGGCCTGGCCTTCCCTGTAACCCACTGAACTAGAGTCTGCAAGGTCTGCTCGTTCTGGAGTCCACTGAGGCTCCCAAAACAGCCAGGATGCATGGGGAGAGCCAATGAGGACTTCTGATCCAGAAGCTTCCAGGCAGGCCCCCAGTTTTGCCTCTGCTGGGGCACTGGCAGGGGGTGTCTTCTGTCCCCACCAGCTCCCATTTGCCTCATCCCCAAAAAGGGTTCAGATGCCCTCTAAGGAAGCAAAAGTGGGTCCTGGCCTGGAAAACCAGTCATTAATGGGTCCCAGGAGAGGCAGACCTGTGTGGATGTCATCTTACCCCTTGGTACCCAAAGGGCAGGAAAGGGGAGAGGAGAAGGGGTTTCCTCCTCCCTTTTCCTGTGGCCCTTGCAGAGGCCAGGCCTAATCTGTGCTCTCTGCTCTCCTGTTGAGGAGTTAGCTGGGAGTCTACCCTGAGTGTGACTTGCTGCAGTACCCAAAGGCCCCCCCAAGAGCAAAACAGCTCTCCCACCACACAATCACCTTGGAGAGCTGGAGACAGCTCTGTCATACCCCTGCTGAGATGCCCAGCCTGGGGACTCTGGCTCTGCACAGGGCCTCTGGGAGGCAGGCCTGCAGGCTCACTTGCTGCCCCGCACCACTCTGGCCCGAAGGCAGAGGGTCAGCCTGACCCAGGTTCCTTGGGGCTCCTGAACTTGCTTCTGTTCTGGCCAGTGCCCTCTTCCTTCATCTGCCACCTGCCTCCCCCTGGAACTCCATGCCAAACATGTCCTCAAGATTGGGTGTATTACTGAGCCCTTTCCCTTGGGTCGGTCTCCCCAGGGACTTTGGGTCCAGGCAGGGTGGGAGGGCATGTGCCCTGGGAGCGAGGGGCCAGACCAGCCCAGGCCCCACCTCCCTAGAGAGGCCCGTGCCAGGGTGCCAGTGCTGCCCTGCCGCCCTTAGCTCTTCTTGGTCTCTTGCTCCCGACGGCGGAGTTTCTCTCGCTGTCGTGCAGCCTTCTCCTGTGCCTTGCGCTCCTTCTCAGCTGCTGCTGCCAGCTCTTTCAACTTCCGCTTCACTAGCGCCCGATCATGCGAGTTGCTGAGTCCCAAGCTCTGGGGAGGAATCCAGGGGGGGAAGGAGAGTCCCAGAACCATCCCTCAGGCCAACCTAAGCCCCAGGTGCTTGCTGCTCCATGGATGCTCTCTGAGGACCCTGGAAGTCCCCCCTTAAGGGTAGCCTCCACCTCCCACACTGTGACTTGCCTTGGGCAAGAATCAGGAATTAAAGTGATTGGGAGAGGAGAGGGCTAAGGATACCAGGGGATCAACGCCCCCCACTCCCTTCCCCACCCTGCCCTTGGCTCCCATTCCTCCACTCAGGATTTCAGTCTTGGCATGACACTACCCATGAGGCCCAAAGATGGAGAGTGACTTGACCAAGGTCACACAGCTGGTCCATGGTCAAGGCCCCTCCCCATGTCCAGACACTCTACTTTACAGACCAGGGCCTCCCCCACCAGAACATGTCAGAAGCCACCCCCTGCACCCTGTTCCCCTGACACACCATTACCACCTGCCTCTGAGACTGAGAATCAGAGCTGACTCCGGGAGAGGCCTGGCTTCCTGTGATACCAAGAAACTCATAAGCACCCAAGGTCAGGTGACAGTCCCAAAGGGCATAGTCAACCTGGATACTTTAGCTGGAGCTAGAGGTCAAATCAAAGTGCTTGCTTTTGAGTTTCAGGTCAGATTGGGGTTCCCTGCTGGAGTGCAAAGACTAGACAAGGACCTTGCCCACAGCTCAAAGGTCAGGGCAGTGGCTGGAAAGGGAGTTCAAAGATCAGCCTGGGGGGGCTGGGCTGAGGGTCAAAGATCAGGATGCTGGGTTTAAGGTTGCCTTCATCTCCATCCATCTGGGTCGTGACCTTGCACCATGATCTACCTTCAGTTTGCTTCCATCCAGCTGCAGCAGCTGTGGCCCATCCACCTGTCGGGCAGCAAACTCGGCAGCGTACTGGTCCAGATTGAGGCTGTGTAGCCACTGGCCCACTTGCTGGCTGGTCCAGTGCTGGACGGTGGGGAGGGGCTCATCCAAGAACTGGGGCAGAGATCGAGGAGAGTGAGAGGCTTGGCCTGCGGCTGGCAGAGCCAAAAGGCCCCAGCAGCACCTCGGCCAGCTTTGCTCACCTCATCTGAAGACTGGGACAGCGTGTGGTAAGGGTAGGAACACTTGGCCTCTTGCCGAGGACCACTGGGGATCTTGGGGCTGCTGCTGGGGGGCGTGGAGTCATCACTCAGGGTGGATTCCTGGACAGGAAGGAATGTGTGTGGTGAGGAGGGAGTTTGCACCCAGGCCAAGGAAATCCCCTGACCTCCAGCCCACCAGCAATGCAGGAGCCAGGAACTGGGCAGGTGGAGACACAGGCCATGGTGACTCATACGAGGCATGAGGTCCTGAGGCCCCTGTGAGGGAAGCAGCCATCTGGGGAATGTGGTACTAGCTCTGAGCTGGACAGAACAGTTAGCAGGAGAGGTGGAGGTCTCCAGCTAGGTGTGGCTTCCTACAGGCAGCCCATCAGAGTTCCCCCAGGTTTTGTCAGGTGTTTTTAGTATGTGCCCCCCCATCCAGCCTCTTGCCCATTGGCTGGCAGGTGCCCCAGTACAATCTGAGCTGTAGGAGGGCCTGGACTATGGCTTGCTCACCATGGTGTCCCGAGGGCCCAACACAAGGGAAGAAAAGAAGGGAGGGACAGAAGGAGACAGTGTAGGGCAGGATGAAAGAGAGCAGTCCCAACTTGGTAGGGACTCTATCGCCTGAACCTACAGCGTTCTGATTCTCTCCTCTACCCTGGCTCTTGTAAGGAGCAGAACCACAGAGCAAGCACTGGGCCAAAGGTCAGAGCTTTGCAAGTCTGTGCTGGTCTCTTCTCTGGGAAGTCCCTTCTCTTTTGGCCACCTCACATCACTGGTAAAGCAAAAAAAAAAAAAAAAAAAAGTGTTGGGGGCTTTGTAAACTGTAGAGTGCCGTGTGAACATAAGCAGGTGTTTAGTGTTGCTTCCGTCCCTTGGTCTCACTTTTCTCCCAGGATGGTGAGCTTTCAGAGCACTACGTTGGGATCCTATTCATCCTCTGTATCTCAGAAACTTCACTTCACCAAACAGTTGTGTGGCACAGAACCAAGCTGGGCAGAACAATTAGCAGAAAAAGCAGCCTCAGGTGGGGAGAGCGGTTAGGGGCATCAAGGATCCCCAGATGATTGTGATTAGAGGAAGTTACGAGTGGCTGACTCAGAGAGTGGAAGGAGTAATGAATGGGTCATGGAGTGGCTCCATGGATGGAAATGTGGACTCCAAGCCTGAGTCAGGGTGAAGTACGTCCTCATGTCACCTGATTCTAGGAGGCTAAGTATGGGGCAAGAAAGTCTCGGCTTACCTGGGAAGCTGACTTCTTAGGGCTGAAGCCTTCGTGTTTAGGGGAGCAGGCCGGGGAGGTGGTGGTGCCCGAGGATGCTGAACCCTTGCCACTGTCTGTGAACCAGGAAAACGGCAGGAACGGGGAGCCCCCTGACCTGCCAGACCCCTCCACTGACTCCCTGTGAAGAGAGCATCCAGTATGGGTGTGGGCACGAGGGGAGGTGGGAAGCTGGGGATGGGGGCCGTGGGTACCTCTCACCTGCTTCCCATGGACAGGCGGTTACTGCCCTTCTCCTTCCGGCTCTTGCCAGTGGATGCTCGGCGGAGGGTGACCCTGCGGAGAGGGCAGGGGGAATGGGCAGAGCTGCTTGCACTGTACTGCCCTTACCCCAGCAGCTCTAAGACCTGCGTGCTGGCCCCTCCTCCACTCACCCCAGGTCCAGAAACTTCCTGCGCGTCTTCTTATCCAGGCCAATGGTGGGGCTGGCCGGCTCAGGAGGGCTAGCATCCCTGCTGTCATCTTTCGGGAGAGAGAGAGGAGAGAAACTAGCCTCGGTGCTGGCTGCCTTCCTCCTTCTGCTGATGACAGTGTGAGTGATAGAAATTCTCTTAACTTAGAAACAGACAACCTGGCTCTGGTGTCCATTCAGTAGCTGTGTGACCTAGGGTAGTCACCTTACCTCTCACAGCGTCGTGCATTTGAAATATGGGAATAATACCCATTTCATGGTACCTAATGGGATGCTTAAGAAAACCTTGTACACACTGAAACACACTTTACAAACTGAAAAGATAGGGATGACTACCATTCAATGATAATTTTATCCTGGCCAACTTCTAACCAACCTTCCCATCTTGGCACAAATGTCCCTTCCAGGATGCTCCCAACTAGGTCACACACCCTGGTAAAGAATTAGCTGTTGCTGGGCGGTCGCGAGGGGCCGCTGCAGTCCCGGTGCCCACCGGCAGGGGGCGCCTCACCGGCCGCGCTCACCTTCGCTGTGCGGCTCTGCGCGCGGGTGGCGGCGCACGAAGCTGGGCGAGCTGTCCGAGGAGGGCGCCGAGCGCGGAGGTGAGCTGGAGGCAGCGGCCAGGCCCTCGTGTGAGGCGGCGTTGTGAAGGGGCCGGTAGCGGGTGAGCGGCGAGGGCGGCGGCTCGTCTTCGTCCAGGCTGCGTCGCAACCCCGGAGGCTCCAGGCAGAACGAGCCCCCTGCAGGGGATCCCGGGCCCGAGTGCAAAGGCGAACGCAGCCGGTGCAGGGGACTCCCGCAGCCGTCTGTCACCTGGGGGAGGATTAGCTGCTCACCGAGAACCCTTCTCCTCCCTTCCCGAGGATGGGAGGCCGGTTCACCCTGTGCACTGTGCAGGAGCTGCCTGCGGAGACCCCACTCTGGGGCTTGGAGAGGACGTTTCCTTATGCCGCGGTGCGGAAGCGTGGTTGGGCAGTGAGACCTGAATAACCAGAGCTTCCCATCACATAGGCTGGGTGACGCAAGAGAAGCGAAGTCGGCCTCCTTCACTTGCTAACTGCGTGACTGTTACCTAGCCCTTTCTGGCCTCAGCTTCCTCATCTGTAAGATGGGACAATACTTTATTTAAAGGGTGACATGAAGCCAGCGCCATTGGCTCACGTCTGTAATCCTAGCTACTCAGGAGGCAGAGATCAAGAGGATCGAAATTTGAAGCCAGCCTGGGCAAACAGTTCGCGAGACCTTATCTCGGAAAAAAACCCATCTGGAAAAAAAGGGCTGATGGAATGGCTCAGGTGTAAGTCCTGAGTTCAAACCCTAGTACCACAAAATAAAATAAATAAATAAATGGCGACATGAGCCAGAAGTAAATGAACTGCAGTTGACCATTGATTGGTAGCATTACTATGTCAGATGTCTGAGGGTGCCGCTTCCCTGGAAGGGCAGGGATAGTCCAGGGGCAAGAGTGTGTGTATGTGTTGCCCCAACCTTGCCTCCAGGTCCGTCAGAGCCTTCACCGTCCTCAGCAGAGCTGGCACTATCTCGAAGCCTGGAGCGGGAGGGTCGGTGTCTCCGGCCCTTGGCCAGCAGCTGGGCTCGGGCCTTGTGTAAACTGCTGTCCAGTCTGGCGGTCTCTGGCACTGCCAAGTCCAGGTCTGTGAACAGAGATGAGGGGGGGTGAGCCCAGAAGCTCACCTCAAGTAGCTACCTGTGCTCATGCCCCAGACATCAGCCAATGCTTGTGAGTGCCAAGCACTGTGAGTCCAGGTGAGGGTCCAGGACTCCCAAAGGCTAGGAAGCTAGCCAAGCCAGCCATGATCACAGCACAGACCAGCCCTGTGTGGAAGGGCCAGAGGAGGAATGCCCAGCTGGGTATTAAGGTCTAGCTGGGAATTTGCAAGCGATGAGGTGGGCAAAACTGGCACCTGGAATGGTAGGAAGCAGGGAGGCAGGAGTGGCACCTGCAGGTAGCTCTGTGAGGAGAAGGGCAGGGGGAGCAGGCTGCAGAGATCCAGGTCATAAAGACTATCAGTGAAAAGCACCTACCACAGGCCCAACACTGTATATACATCAGCATCTTACTCAGCACAACATGGGGAGGGGAGCTTATGACAGCTACAATGCCCATTTACCACTGGAAAAACTGAGGGTCAGAGAAGTCACCTGACAAAACCATTGGCTAGAAATAGTGTAGGATTTGAGCCTGGCTAGTCTGGCTCCAGAAATGGACCCTGCCAGGGCCACTGTCCCTGCTCAGGGCCACATTCAGGTTGCACTGCTGAACATGTGGAGGATGCAAAGTTGAAGTGGAGTAGAGGGACACAAAGTGGCAGTGGCAGTGGCAGGAAGGAAGGCCCTGCAGGCCCCTGAAGCCTGGTCCTCTGTGGGCCTAGGGGTAGGTCATGCATGAGGACCTGGAAGAAGAGTGAGCAAATCCTATGGATCATGCATAAAAGCATTCATTGGTCAGTTCTACTTTTTCTGTGCCCCACCTGAGAATGAAGGCCTGACTCTGTCTGTATTGACCTTGACCTTGGTACTGGGGTCTTCAAGCAGAAAAGATTCTTCCGGGGCCTCAGGATGGGTCAAGACTTCCCTGCCCCACTCCTTGTGGATCTCCAGGCTCACCTGATCTTCTCTGCCATTCTGTCTTGTGTGTAGACACCCCCAAAGCCACCCCCATTGATGACCATTAATGTTATTTCCAGCCCTGATCACTCCCTAAATTCCAAGCCCAGGCACTCAGGCACCTGCCAGGGAACTTATGTGTCAAAGGTCCCCAGGCACCTCAAACTCAACCCAGTAAAACAAACCCATCACCTTGCCTCAAACAGGCTTCTCCTCTCTTCCCTGGTTCGGGGAAAGGCCACAAGGTCCACCCAAGTTCCCCAAGTCAGATAACTCTGAGCTACCCATGTCCCTCGACCCCAGACCCAGTTGGCAATTCATGTGCCTCAACACTTGCACTTGGATGTTCAGTGGCATCTTCAACCTCCATGCCAGACTGAGCTGGCTCTCCCTCCCCCTGTGCTGCTCCTTCCAGTCTCCCCATGTTGATTAATGGCAGCTCCGCCTTTCTGTTTGCTTGGGTCAAATCCCTGGGTTGTTCTTGACTTCTTTCCCTCCCATCCTACAACCCCATCCAGTTGCAATTCCTGTTGGCTTTACTCTAGGAATATATGTAGACATACTGAAATATTGATGGTGAAGTGATAATGATGTTTTGGATTAGGTTCAAAGTAATCCAGGGCAATGAGGAGTGGGGCATGGAAGGAGAAAAACATCAGTCAGGAGTTGACTGTGACTGAGGTGGAATGACCAGTGTATGAGCACATAACAGAATGCATTGTACTCTTTTATTTTTGAATATGTTAGAGGTTTAACCAACAAATTTTTGTTTGCGAGCGAGTGTACACCCACTCATATACATGTGCACAAATGGAAAGCAGGAGAGAGGGCAGAACTGGGGGAGGGAGGACAATCAGCAGCCTCCCTCTTCTGGATCACCATCATCTCTTGCCTGGGTTGTTACAAGAGACTCCTGGCTGGCCTCCATCCTCTCTTCTGGACTTACAGTTCATTTTTTCAACACAGCAACCAGAGTGGTCCTAATACAACATGTCAGATCTGTCATTTCTCTGCTCAGAACCCTCTAGTGACTTCCATCTCAGGCAGAGCAATAGCCAAGGTTTTCCCAGCGGCCCTTCAGACTCAGTCTGTGCTCTGTTCACCTCTCTGAGCTTTACTCACCTCTCTGAGCTTCTGCTTCTCTTCCTCCCTCTAGCCACCCTTCCTTTCACAAGCCCAGTCTGCACTCCTCTTCCTACAACAAGGCTCTTGCCACAGACTTCTTCATGGTTCTCTCCCTTACCTCCTTCAGACCTTTGCTTTATAACACACTCCTGCACACACTCCAAAGCCCCACTCCTACTTTTTTCTGTATCATTTATCACTCTCTGGCATCCTGTATACTTTACTTATTTAAATTTATTGTCTCTCTTCATTCAATAGAATGTCAGCTCCATGACATTTTTTTTCTTTGTTTTGTTCACTATTCTTCCACAGACATAGGACAGTGCCTGGTGCATAGCAGGTGCTTAGTGAACACTTTTTTTTTTTTGTGGCACTGGGGTTTGAACTCAGGGTCTTCACCTTGAGCCACTCCACCAGCCCTTTTTTATGAAGGGTTTTTTCAAGGTTGGGTCTTGCAAACTATTTCCCTGGGCTGGCTTCAAACCTTGATCCTCCTGATCTCCGCCTCCTGAGTATCTAGGATTACAGGCGTTAAGCCACCAGAGCCCAGCCAATAAACACTTTTAAAGAAAGAACAAAATTCCATTGTGGGCCTCCCTTGCATACATGGAACCTGGCCTCTCCTTTCCCTCTGGACTGAACTGCTGCAGCTCAGACCTATCAGCTGCTCTACATCCCAGCAGTGGCTGCTGTCCCTAAGCATGGCTTTGCCTCCATCTGTCCTCTCCTTCCCCAAACCTTCCACAGGCTAGAAAGAACTTTTTAAATTATTTCAGGCCCTGTCCTGTAAAATTTCTTGCTTTTTAAACCCTGGGGCAGGTAGATCCCTAAGCCAACAATATAAATCCACCTTTTCTTCTCTCCAAGACCTGAGGAGGCCTCAGTCCACTCTTCTGTTTCCCACACTACTCTGTTTATACATCCATATAGGACACTAGCTCTGCAGTTAGCCTCCAGAGTTGGATGGTCCAGGAAGAGTCTTAGTTCTGCAGATTGATGGCTGGGTGACCAGTCCAGGTCCTTGCACATGCTAGGCAAGCCCTCTATCCCTGAGCTACATCCCCAGGCCCATCTCCCGTTTTAACCCTCTGCCTAGCATTGCTCTTATCCACTGCTCTTTGTTTATCTCTGTGCTTTCGGGACCCTTATGTCCTGCTGGCCCTGACCTTGGGGTGAATCAAGCTCTCCCAGTGACTTTGTCTGGCTTGTTCCTGGCTGTCTCCCCAGAGCCTAGAACAGAGCAAACATATATTAGGAGCTCAGTGAATCTTCAATGAGTAGATGAAGAAACAGGGAGTGACTGGGAGCTATACCTTCAGACCAGGCAGCCAGGATAAGGTCTCAGTAGTAATAAAGAGGCCAGGTTGTAGAAAGAACCAGAAAGAGCTCTCTAAGGAGAGGGAACAGTAAACTTTGGCTTTGGGTGTCTGAGGAGTAGCCAGAAGGCCGGTGTAGCCAGTGAAAGCAGGGCTCAGAGCAGCTGTGGCAGTGATCCAGGGGAGCAGCTAGCAGCTAGGACGGGGCAGCCACAGTCTGAAGGACTGCTCTCTTGGACCCGGATGTGACTCCTCTGGTCCTTCCCTACACCAGTCTCACAGAAGTAAGCCTTACTTCCATACAGAAGTATGGAAGGCTGGGGCAGGGCTGTAAGGCTGGGGCAGGGACCCCTCCTTCTCAGCCCCCTGACCCAGAATCTCCTGGTGCTGCCTGGAAGCACAAGACCTTTGCTCTTGCTGAATTTGAGCAGTCAAGTTCACACGACTGAGCTCTTGCTGTGCTAGCACTGTTCTAAGTGCCTTCCAATTACTAACTCATTTAAACTTCCAACAACCCTACTGGAAGGGACCCTGGGAATCCCCAGGGCAGCCTTAATTTGCCTGAGGGCATAGAGCTGGCAAGAGCAGGCCGGGGTTAAAGCAGGCGGTTTGGCTTTTTTGTAACCACCAGATAATGCTATACCCCTCCTGAAGCAGAGATGGGTGTGACATTGAGCTCAACCCCTTGTTTTATGGGTGGTGAAACTGAATGACTTGGCCTAGGGGCAAAGGAAGTCAAGGATGGTCAGTGCCCTGGCCTCCTCTCCCTTCCTGGCCCACACCAGGGACAAGAAGGGTCCTGTGCTCCCAACTCTGAGCCACATGGGCACCATCCACAGTCTAAAGAGCAGAGGGACTCCTGAGGGTTCAAGGTAAGGTGGGATTAGCCTTTCCTGGGCCCCTCAACACCTTCTTTCATCTCTTCCCTTTCCTCTGCTCTTGCACTTTTCCCCTCTTCCCAGGGCAGTGGGAGTGATGAATATTTAATGGCTTTTTTCATCTGGAAGCAGGCCAGGCAGGGCCCAGCTACCTCAGCAGAGAGCAGGAAAACAGGAAGGGGCTGGTGAGGAGCTGAGGGTAGGGAGGCAAGGGAGGAGCCCTGGGAAGGAAGGCTCAACTCTGTTAGCCAAGGGTTAAGCTGGGCTCCTATACAGCAAGGCAAACTCAAAAACTGAGGCCCAGGGGAGCCCCAGGGAGCCTGGGCGCCTCCGCCAGAAGCAGGAGGCCACAGTCCTGGCATGGCCAGGGCCAGTGGCAATGGTGGGGAGAAGGAAAGGAGGAAGGCAGAGACTGGGTGAAGGCAGGGAGGAGAAACTGGAGCCCTAGGCATTCCATGCAGAGGGCCCCCCTCTAGGCTACAAACACAAATGTGAGTTCTTCCCCCACCCAAATTCAGTCTTTCCACCCTAGAGCCTGCTGGAAACTCTACCCTGAGTGTGTGAGTGGGGAGGTCGCTTTCCAAAAGATGGCCCTAGTGGGTCCTGAGGGCGCTGATGTGAAGACCAGCATGAGGGTGTGGCCAGGGATACAGAAGCTTTGTGTGCAAGCACACATGTGCATGTGTGAGTACACGTGTTTGTGTGTGTGTGTGTGTGTGTGTGTGCATGTGTACAGCCAGTAGGGTGAGATCCTGGCAACTTATGCATGTGACTTGGAGGTCATATGTGTTGTTTGGGCTGGAGTACACAGGGGCACAGCACAGTGATTGGGGCAGGGGACCGGAAAGTCTGGGGTAAGTCTAGTCCCAGCCCTGCCACTAACTTGCCATGCGATCTTTAAAGCAAGCCACTTCTGCACTCTGCACTCAACATTCCTCGTCTGTAAAATGGGCTTACTTCTTAGCATTAATGTGAGCATTAAATGGTACAGTGCATGGGAAATGGGAGTGCATGGGTTAGTACCCAGCATGAGGTAAGTACCTAATAAACAAGGATACTTGTTGGTGTTCTAACTGGCATGTTCACTAAGATAGTGGTGACAGAGTTGCCGCACCACACACACATGTGCGTGCACACACACTGAAGCCCCCAAGGTCCACCTCACCTCCCTCCCTCCCCACCCAGCAAAGCCCAGTGGCCTTGGAAGGAAGCACTCCATGGCTGTGCCTATTACTAGAGAAAGAGTCATATGGGGAACTTACCAAAAACCTCATCCACAGGTTCTCGGAATTTTGAAGAAGCCATGACTCAAGAGAGCTGGGGAGGACAAAAGATGGGGGAGGAGAGAAAGAAAAAGACACCCTGGATAAAAGGTTCAAGTTGGTCAAGGCAAAGAAGAAACTAACAGCTACCTGCTCCTGGCCCACTGGCCCCTCACCTTCCCCTGAAACTTTTCCTCCAACCCCAGGAAGAGAAATCATCTGAGCCCTTGCCTAGATTGGGAGCACTGGAGCAGGAAGAATAAGCAGTTGGCAGAGTGACTCATGTGGTAGAGCACCTGCCTGGCAAGTGTGAGGTCTTGAGTTCAAACCCCAATGCTGCCAAAATCACAACTAAAAAACTGAATCCAGGAGGAATGAGCAGAAGGGTCTGGGCAAAAGAATCCAGGGGCACAGCCACAAGCTAACTGGCTGTTGCTTTCATGTGGATCCCTGCAGTTTTGGGCCTTCTATCATTAGCATCCTTTAAAAGCTTCCCCCTCCTCCTTTTCTCTCTCTCTCTCTCTCTCTCTCTCTCTCTCTCTCTCTCTCTCCTCTCCCTCTCTTTCTCTCTCTCTCTCTCTCATTGAACTCAGAGCTTTGCACTTGCTAGGCAGGTACTCTACTACTTAAGCCAGTCTGCTAGCCCTTTTTGCATTGATTATTTTTGAGATAGGGTCTTGCTTTATACTGGGACCAGCCTGGACCTCAATCTTCCTATTTGTGCTTCCCTGGAATGATAGATGCCTAGCCATTGATTGAGATGCGGGCAGGGTGGGGGGAGGGTGTCCTCATGAACTTTTTGCCAAGGTTGGCCTCAAACTGCAATCCTCCCAATCTCTGTCTCCCAAGTAGCTAGGATGACAGGCATGAGCCACGATGAAAAGCTTTTGATCATCATAAACTGCCCAACACCAAATCTAGGAGAAGTCATGGATTGTTAAATCCAGTTCTCTTATTTTACAAAGAAACAGAGGAGAGAGTGGCTGACCCCAGATCATTTAACAAGTTAATGGCACATACAGGATCAGAATCCAGGTTCTTTCAACCATCTACCTACCTATTTTCCTACCATCTGCTTGCCCATCCATCCATCCATCCATCCATTCATCTAATATCCACTCCATCCATCCAACACCTATCACAGTCTGTCCATCCATCCACCCATCTTTACGTGATTAATTCTCCACTCATCTTCCATCCATCATCTCATCCTTCCTCCTCCCTCACCCCCCCATCACTGGGGACCTCACCACCTGCCTTTCTGAACATGAGCTGTTCAGGAAGCTGGCACCACCAGCAGGGCACTGTTCTAGACAGACTCACAGTTCTCACAGTTCTTGCCAGATTCACAGATGTGGGAGGGTATGAAGAGTTCTCATAGCAGAACAGTGGACAGTCAACTCTGAAGTATCCAGTATGTTTCGGAGAGTATGGATGGGACAGGGTTGTTTTGTTGCTGTTGTTTGGTTTTTTGACGGGAAGAAAGATATATGTGGATGAAACAATCTGGGTAAGGAATACTGGATGAGAAGAGAGGGAGGAAGCTCAGGTGCCAATGATGGATTGGGACAGGGGGACACGATCTCCAGTTACTTCTGACACTGAGGTCCCCAGGAGAAGGGCAGGACACTGAGCTAGATCATATACTTGACAGGTATAGAGAAGCCAGGTCTTGTTCCTTCCAGCTCTCTCCTTCTGTCATTACACAGACTTCATCTCACTGTGAGTTGCCAGACTTAGAATCTCAGTATCTGAGATGCAGGAGCTAAGAGACCAAAGTCTGCCTTGACCCCAGTCTCCTGCCTCTCAGCTCTATCCTGAGGGATGATCTGAAGTTCTAGGGTTGCTCATGAGGAAAGAACACTTCTGGGGGAAGGGATGGGATGGAAAGAGGGGAGCTGACAAGGATTAGAGGAATTAAAGCCATCTCTATCCCAAACTTCAGGGACACTTGGAACTGAGCAGGAAATGAGCATGGGAGGTCAGAGATGGTCCTCCAAGAACCCTCCTATTATTCTTGTTTTATTTTTTGGTGAGACTGTGTTTGAACTCAGGGTTTCACAATTACAAAGCAGGCTCTCTACTACCTGAGCCACACCTCCAGTCCTCTCTTTCCATTCTTGAACTCTGGGAACGAGGAGCCAAGATCTAAAACATTCCTTTCTGGCCGGAGGGGCCAGATGGGAAGCAGGCTGGCCCTAAAAAATGTACCAAATTCCCTCATTGGATCACAAAGCGTTACCTGATGAAGACCCAGCTGCCAACTGGTCCTAGGTTGCCTACACAGTTTCTAAGTCCACCCTTATCCCATCCCTGGGAAATGGAGATAGACTTTTTATAAGTCATTGATTCCCTAGAGGGGTCTTATCTCTCCCACCTCAAATGGGAGATCCCAGAGGAGAGGGACCATGCATTCCCTGTCAGACTAGAAACTCTCTGAGGGTAGGATCTGTCTCTCCATCAGAATGGGGGATCTCTGCAGGTAGTAGTGGTGTCCTCTCTTAGACACTGAGAATGAAGAGCTCATGGGTTCTTTAGTGAAGGCCCCAGTCCAGAGGTGACCCCTGTGGACACAGGGTGAGCGGGGGCTTCTGGCTCACACTCACTCCCAGTCCATTCTGATTCAGCACAATCTGCTTTCTCTCTCTCCCTTCAACAGCCAGCTCTCTGGGCTGGGTAGGGGAACTCCAGGGAAGTAAGATATCTAGGAGATCACCAGGCCCCTGCCGCCCAAACTTCTCCTTCCAAAACTGAGCCTTGGAAAATTTAACACCCAACTCCACCCCCTTCCCCCAGAGAGAGAGCGCGCTGGAAGGCTCTCTCTCTCTCTCTCTCTCTCTCTCTCTCTCTCACACACACACACACACACACACACACACACACAGACCTTCAGCCAGATAACACAAGGGTGGAAATAAACCAGTTCCCCTGTCACTAGAACACTCCCTTCCCCTATAGTTACTGCTCCTGGAGGAGCAGTAATGACCTCTGACCCTTCTCTGGGAGAAAGGCAGGCAGGTGAGCTCCAGGCTACCTAGGGCCCAAGGGAAGAGAAAGAAAGAAAAGAAAGGTGCACAGCCTAGGAAGGAGAGATTGACGGTGTCCACAGGGGGCTGAGAAGAGACAGCAAGGAAAAGCAGACAGACAGTGGGGCCAGGGAAAGCAGCTGGCAGCCCTGAGTGCTGCCCAAGGGTGGGGTCAGGGAGGAAAGGAAGGAGAACACCAGCCCTGCAGGCCAGAGGAAAGCAAGGGGCCCAGGAAGAGGAAACAGACAGAAGTGCAACTGGAAAAGGCAGGGAAGGGGTGGACATCAAGGCTGGGATGGGGAAAGCAATGCATCTGGGAGGCCAGGTCACTCCCCCTGAAGCCAGCTTTCCACCGCCCCAGGCTTGGGGCCGCCTGCAGAGGCTCACATCCCCCTCAAAGCACCGCCGGCCGCTGGAGATGGGGCGAAGGACAAGGCACCTGCTCTACTCTCAGGGACCCTTTCCCCAATCACAGCGGGTGGCCAGTTTCTCCTCAACCCGCCAGCCCAACTTCCTGCCAGGCATGAAGGAGTTAAGCCCCTTCCCCTTCTCCCTCCCCCAACACCATTTTTTTAAAAAAATTAATTTCCCGGGCGGGAGAGAGGGGATTAAGGACACAAATCCCAGCTCTACCCCCTCCCCTGACAGTACAGCTCCCCAGCCCTGTGCGGTCCCCCCAGGCACAGGGGAAGAAAAGCCCTTGTCGCTTAGTCCCATCTAATCCCACTCGGGGTCCCGCCGCGAGCCAAGTGCCCCCACCCCGGCCCCGCTTCCCGGTCCAACCCAGGAGGCCCGGTCCCTCACCTCCAGCATCGGTCATCTTCAGCGTCCGGCGTCCCGGGAACCCCTCAGGCCCATGATGCTCGAGGCGGGGTGCCGGGCGGGAGAGGGCGAGGGACCGTCACCCCGGTCGCGGGGGGCTTCGGGTTGGCTCGAGCCGCTCCATCCCGGGGTGGGACTGGGGATCGGCAGGGAGGGTCCGGGAGCCGGAGGGAGTGGAGAGCAGAGGGCGGATATGAGGGACGGAGAGAGAAGGTTTGCTGGAAGCAAGAGGCGCGGGCGGGGCTGGACCGGGAGACCTGACGGGAGGATGCTCCGTGTGTGCGTGCGTGTGTGTGCGTGTGTGTGTGTGTGTGTGTGTGTGTGTGTGTGTGAGAGAGAGAGAGAGAGAGAGAGAGAGAGAGAGAGAGAGAGAGAGAGAGAGAACAGAACGCTCCACTCCCGCTCCGCCCCCGCCAGACCCGGACGGTTGCGGGTCCTGGCAGGCCGATTCGCGCAGCGCGGAGTCGGTCAGGTCCGCAGGGGTCCCCGGGGCAGAGGCTATGAGGGGGGCGCGTGGCGGGGAGGCCGGGCGCCTGGGAGACAAAGAGAGGGAGGGAGAGAGGGAGGGAGGGAGGAAAGGAGGGGCGGAGGCGGCGAGGACCGAGAGGAGGAGGAGGCGGGCGCCGCGGCCTGGCCGGGGGATCCCAGTTGCTTGCAGCCACTTCTCCACCAACGGGGGACGCGGGCGCACAGGAGTCTGCGCGGGGTAGGGGTCGGAGGGGAGGCGGCCCTGCCTTGCCACCTTCAGGGCTTCCGTCTCCTCTGTAGGGTCTGTGAGGGTCCCTGATTCATTCACTCATTCATTCATTCAGCAAACACCTACCGATCAGTCAGCCGGGGCACCCAGGTGACCGCGGTGAAGGAACCAACTGGGTTCCGGCTGACCACGCTCAAGTGCAGTTGGGGCACAGTCTGAGTGGGGAGGTCCTCCCAAGCCTGAGTTCTGTGGGCCGGGTTGCACAGAGGACATTTCAGTAGCCAGTCCCGGCCGGGGCAGAGGACAGAGAGGATTCCTAGAGGAGGTAATGTGTGGTTACTCCTGTAGGCCAGGGTAAAGGCAACGTGCCCACGGGACTTGGTGGTGTGTGAACAAGAGGGGCACATGAACTGAGTCAAAAGGGAGGTTTTCACTTCATTCTACTAACCAAGGGAAAAAAGTTAACTGAGCAAGGAGGGCGTCCTATCTGATTTGGGGAAGAACCCTTGGGCTTCTCAGTGGAGAAGGATTGCAGAGGGCAGCCTGGAGGGCCACCAGAAGGTGGGCACCCCCTCAGGATACTGTTGAGAGATGACAGCAGTGGGCATGAAGATTAAAGATCAAGCTGAGAGCTATTTAAGAGGCAGAAATGAAAAACAGTGACAGGATTTGGGGCTGACTGGACAAAGAACTGAGGGAAAAGGAGGAGTCTAGGATGGCTGTGGGTCTTGGCTAGAGCTCTGAAGCCCTGGAGCGAAGAGAGGGAGTGGGATGGATGAGCTCAGACTTGGACAGGGTGAGCTGGAGGAGGATAATGTAATTAACAATGCTATCACCAACAACTAGCTATCATAGGAAGGGTGTGGGGTATGCCGAGCAATCTACGGAACACTTCAGATTATTTAATGTCACCCTTGCAATAAAACCATGAAGTAGGTGTTTCTATTACTCCCTATGTCGCAGAAACAGAGACTTAGGAAAAGGAAAGTGGTTTGTTCAGGAGCAAGTGGTGACAATGGAGAAGGGTCCAGACAGAGCTCAGGGAGAGGCATGCTGTCTGGAGGGACAGAGTTCTCTGATGGTCCACAGGGGTCTGTAGTCCAAGGCCTCCCAAGCACGATCATGTTGAGCTAGGAAGATCCTGGGACTGTGGGTGAGGACAGAATAGTCATTAAGGACTGAGCGCATCCCAAGAGATCTTTGAGAATTGGGGAGGTGTCTCTGGGTGTCTTCAGAATCTGCTGGCAGCTGAGAGGTGCTGGCTAGACTGTGGAGACTCCGGTAACAGCCTATGCAGGCTGTGCAGGATGTGCCTGGGGTCTTTAAAGAGGATGTGGTATGCAGGTATCTGCTGAGATCTGGATGGTAGGCTAGAGTGAGTGAGTTGATTAGATAACCCCCAGATTCCAAAGGGTTAGGAATGACAGGATGTAAGGTCATTGCTGGAGGCAGAGGGAGCATTCAATGGGCCCCAGAGTCTGTCCCTTGCTTCTAGTAAGGCCCAGGCTGCTGAGAAAATCCCTTACCTGACTTTTTCCATCACTGCCAGTTGTCGGGGTTGTGGCAAACCTGCTCAAGCTTCCAAGAACTGGACAGTTGATCAGAGTAGGAATGGGGAAGCTAAGGTGACAAGCCTCACACATGTCTGCCCATAGCCACGGGCATATTTCACAAGCAAGTCATATCTCAGACCTAAGAAACTCCCAGCAAACCATACCCAATGCTGCAAGCCACACAACATGTTCAGCTCAGGGTTAAACGTGAGGAGCTACCTGGCCCATCCTTCGGGAAAGACCTAATACACAGCACAAGTGGGACCCCAGGTCTCTCCTGTGAATGCTTAGCTGTCAGACCACCAGAAGCCCTCACCACAACCCCCACGCCTGCCTCCTCATCCGGGAAGGTCCAGCCACTCCACTTCTTGGGACTTATTGGCAAGGTCTCTTGTGTAGGATCTCAGTAGCCTGGGGATTCAGTGACTTCTAACTCTGGAAGGACAGCCTGTGACCTTGTGCTTTGGTGGCCTATGAGTACCAGATACAGCCACCTAGACCTGTCTTCAGCATCCCCAAGGTTCCTAGTGTTCAAGGATGATCAAATTGGAGGAGATGCCCTGAGAGGTATGGTCACTATCCCTAGGTTTCCAGGTGCCCCTCAGGCGTGTGGCAGGACAGGACTGGTCCTAGACAGTCCTGAGGAGTAGAACTAAGATTTTTGAGGGTAGTTATGGGAAAACAGAAATTGGCTCGACATGAGTGCCGTGTGACAGCCATCCCTACAGGAGTGGCTGCCTCACGGCTGGTCACTGTCGTTCTCAGAGGCCAGTCATCTTGAGAGTTGTCAGGAGCCACCAAGGTGACCCTGAAGGCTCCTGAGAGCCATTCCTTATGGCAAAGGGAGGGGAGAGTGAGAATTCCTTTATGGCCAAGCCACAGGAACACAGGATTTGCCTCCCAGAACCTAGGGCAAGGAAGGGCTGCTCTGGGAACTGTAGAGGTTCCTGCAGTTTCCTGACCCTCTCACTTCTGGAACTCACCAGAGCTTTTCTCCGACAAATTCTGGTATCTCTTACACCAAGTGCTGTGAGGGACCAACGGACCGACGGCATCCTTGACCCTCCCCACCTCCAGTGAATCAAGAAACCAGGCAGGAAGGCTCTGGGGGCTGCTTTTATGGGGACGACCTGACAGAGGGCATGGTCCGTACAAAACCGGGAACAATACATACATATATATATTATATACAGAGACGGGGTCCTCCACGGGCGGGGCAGGGGCGCCGCCGGTCCAGGAAACCGGAAGCGCCCTGCGGCCCCGCCCACCCGGCTCCGCCCCCTCCATCTGCCCGGGTGCAGGGCCGGGCACTGAGACAGCCAGCTCTTTCAGGGGGTGGGGGTACATCTGGGAAAGGGAGAGGGGGCAAGAAATACTGATCGATGGCATCGCTTATTTACAGGGGACAAGGAGAAGCCGAAACAAATTAACGGGGATGTTTTTAAAAAATGAAAAACCCAAGCTTGGCAGAGAAGGGGCAAAATGAGATGGATCTTTCACAAGGAGGAGACCCTGGGGGAGAGGGGGTCTCACCTCCCTTGGTCCCAGCTCCAACTTGGGGTTAAAGTGGGGAAACGGAGTCAATTTCATTTAGAAAGTAGACTACCGGCAGGGCAGCCCTGGTGTCCAAAAAAGTAGTAAAATTTTGCCCTCCAGTCAAAACATTGGAAAACCGTCGGGGTAGGGTAAGGGAGGCTGAGTCTCTGCCATGTTAGTACAAGGCTTCCAGGTGTGGTCCTGGGCAGGGCCTGACTCTCCAGTGAGAAACGTTGTCCCTGCTCTGCAGCCAGTCCCCTAAGGTGACTGACCTCCCTCCCTGCTGGCATTCCCAGGCTTGGCCAGGAAACCAGGACCACAGAGAGGCCAAAAACAGTTCTAGGAGGAGGTTATGGCTATTTGGCACCTGGGAGAGGGGAGGCACAAGGAGAAGTTAAGGGCTGCTGCCCTTTCTAGGAAAGGGGACGCTGGGGACCAGGTGTCCTGGACTTTCCCTTTTCCTACTTCCATTCCCCCCTTTCCCGAAGGATGTGCGAGAAATCAGTGCAGGGCCAGGCCCAGCCTTGGGGCTCAGGGTGGGCTCTATCCCTCCCAGGACGGGGAACAGGAATGGGTTGTGTTGAGGAAACCCCCAAGCAGGAGGGTCGGAATGCAATGGACAGCACGATGACAGGGAGAGGGAAGGGCCAAGAAGGTAGAATCTCTTGAGGCCCAGGGGCCCACCCAAGAGCCCCATGGGCAGGGAGCAGCCTCCAGTTGGCGAGATGCTGGGAGTACCCCAGCCCCACTCCAGTCCAGAGACAAATGCTGGAGGTTGTAAACTCTGGCAGTTTGGTCTGCAGGTCCTTGGGTCCATCCACCACCCAGGCCAGCCCTCGGCTTCCCTCAGCCTCTATGCCTCAGCCCCATGGGGCAAGGAGGTCACCCTTCGGCCACCAGTGTCTGCCCAGGCCACCTTAAGGGAGCCTGTGATATGGGCCCTCTGGTCCCTGAAGCTGGGGGAGGTGGGGTGGAGGGGTGGGGGGAGTCGGGGCACCTGTCCCCAGGCTGGTAGGGGGCGGGGTGGGGTACTGAGGACTGGGAGCGAGGATAATGGGAAGGGATTATTATTGTCCGGTCAAGGAATGATTCCTGTTAAGTAGAATTGGAATTCCTCAGTGTTTGTAGGTTTCCTTCCAGTTCTGAGATCTGAAAAACAAAGAGGGGTGGTGTCATGCACGTCTATGGGCCTTGTCCCCTCCGCCCCTGGTGAAGACATGGTCCTGAGCTCCCAGACAGCAGCATGTGCCCCAACCCAGGACCCACAGGGTGGATGCTAGATGGGGGCTTATGTGCTGCTCCCTCCATAGGACTCTACCCCCAGGGTACCCCAGATT